CCACCGGCGGATCCTCCGGCCGAGCCGCCTGCAGAACCACCAGCACTCACTCCTCCTTCACCATTTTCGTCACAGTCTTCGCCGGAGCCAGCACTGCCGCCGAGGCCCAGGCCACCGCCGAGACCGCCACCAAGATGGCCGCCGAGGCCACCACCGAGATGACCACCAAATCCAAGGCCACCCCATCCACCGCTGCCACCAGCGGAGCCACCGGCTTCACCCTCGCAGGCTTCACATTCAGCGGATCCGGATCCGCCAAAACCATGGGAGAGCAGACCAGACAGAAGGCCGAAGGTACGGGCCTTCAAGTGAGAATCCTCCTTGGAAGGGTGAGAGATGGGAGTCAGGAGTCTGGCGGTACGGGTCGGGGCGTTAGAATCCTGATTTTGAGGAAGGGTATTCACCGGCGCAGCCAGTGTTGAAGTTGCCGAGAGGGCGAGAAGAGAAAGAGCGAGATGCATATTGAACGAAGGGAAGAACGATGGTATTCAGTAAGTAAGAAGAGAGAAGAGAGAAGAGAGAAGAACGAGAGGAAAAGAAGGAGGAGATGCTTCTACCAGAGGAGCAGTGAGTGGATTGGTGGATGATTAGGAGAAAGAGGATGGGAAGTTGAGAGGTATTTATGCATTGTGTCGCTACTTGAGAGCTGCAAAGATGTTCTTCCTGCCTCTGGAAGGTATGATTCTATTCCGGGCGGATGAAACGATGGCGTCAAGAGGGCAGGGCTTGATGGTGATCCGAGTTTTGGACAGAGACAACGACATGGGGTGAAACCTGCTAGCACCCCGAGTTGGGGCTTCAAGGGCCGATCGAGTAGCAAGCTACTTCGGGTAACATCGTTGCTACAAGTTCATGCAGATGTCGTGCAATAGATCTGTCCATCAGGGTGTCAGTTTGTCTTAAGGAAACCATTGAGCTCAAGGGATACGAACAGAAGTGAATTATGTTTAGCATCATGGCATCAGAATACGGACCTGCATCCATGACTGCAACAGACGAACCATCATCATACTCTACAGTGCAGCTTGGAGAACCGATTTTGCTAAGCGAATAGAGTTACCCCGGTGGAGACTTCAGCCTTAGCACGAAATGTTCAATTGAACATCGCACGAACGAGTTCTCCTTCTGAACCTTCTGGCTCCTGGCCAAGTCTTGTTTTTGCTCAAGCTCGGGTTTTGGATCGTCTGATGCCGGCTAGACCATGCGATCACCAGGGGTTTACCCCGTAGTTCAGTTTGAGAAGTTCTAATTTTGGTCTTCCGATTACCCGTACCATGCAAAAATCATCGGAATGCCTCTTGGGGTAAAGAAAGCGAGAAGAATCGAGATGTAACGAACTAGTGATCTGCCCTCGACAGCAAGTGCATGTGTCAGGGATCCAGCGTAACATTGGAACTTGGTTCAGAGGTAATTCGAGACCTCGGTATGGACTGGCTGCATGAATTCAGTTTCCTATTGGTATGAGTGAGTCAAGGAATCTGCTCAGCCTGTCCACATCCCGTAGCGACAGTTCCGTGCTCACCAGAGTCAAGGCATGTGAGAACTCCAAACAAGTCCCAAGCCTGAACTCCTGAGCAGTTCCTCTGTCGCAAACCATGACTAGCAGGGACTTGAAACTGGCTAGTTGGTTCCAAAGTGGATATTACCAAACTCCGATCTTCGATGCCAAGCACCGGACTGTTTCTTCTCTCTGCAGGATCCTTGGAGGCTGGAACGTTCGGGGAAGTTTGTCTCACTCCTAAGCGACCTATGCAATGGCTCTTGATGCTGGAATGATCAGGAATTGAAGATATGTCGCCCGCTTTGCTGAATTCTCAATTCTCACCATGACCGTGTGCAAGTGGATGAAACGGATGGGTCCGACTAGAGGTAAACAACCCCTGATGCCAAGACCTCGCCTATTGCCCCCCAGCATCTTCCCCAGCGTTGAGATCTACTTACTGATCGATACTGGGAAAATCGTAGAATTCTTATCTATGGAGTGATATGCACTATTTTCAGCCTTGTGCATGTAGACTTGAGTCAATTACTCCTAACTAAATATAGGCATTGCTGAAACCCAACCATGCACTGTGAAGACTGCAGCTATCCACACCCTGGAAACTCGACGTAGTGCGCATTGCCTCAAGCTATACTGACCCCAGCGCTATAATACTGTTATAGTCATGTGCAGAGCGTTTAGTTTGCCTATTTGCGTAAATGCTGATCGAGAATTGGACACTAATCCGTGGTTGTGATAGATCGTCTACTCATCCTCTCCCTGTTGGAGATATAGGTCAAAATCAACATCTTAATTCGAGACTGTATCTCGAGACTAGACAGGAACGTAAGTGCTCAACACAGTAGGAATCCAAAGCTCAATGCTTGTTCAGGTTGCGATATCTCCACTGTATACTAAGACAGGTGATTATTCTGAACAGATTATACCTGATACTTTAGTACTAACGGTCTATAAGTTGCGTCAATCGAGTTCCCTATGGTGTAGTAGTCAAATATGCGCGTTAAAGCAGGTGTGTGAACATGTGCATGACAAACAGAAATGACAGAATGAAATACGTGATCCATGGCATGAAGAGATCGACAAGGATTGTCCCAAAACTGGGACTTTTGACTACGGAGTATGGCCCAGAAGCGATGTCTTGGATAGTACAGCATGACCAGATGACCTGCCTCATTAGGTTGCTCCACTGCATCCACTGGGATACCTGGAAAGGAAAAACAGACGCGATATAGGATAGAACGACAAGGATTGAGAAAAAATCAACCATGGTTATTCAAAATTACCGCTGAGATCGCTACCAAACCACCAGCTGATTTCATCCGACTTCTTCCGATAAAGCATCTTCGATATAGAATTCTTATCATGTTATGTCGGTTGCTACGATATGGCCTTTCCCCTACCGACCTTTTAGTTGAGCCAAGGGAATCTTCGAAATCAACGCAGCGTACTTTGAAGTCGCAACGCTTTCTCCTTTCACATATCATCAACCAAACTGTTTAGCTCTCAGGGAAGGGTTCTGAATAACAATGCCTATCATCTCCAGAGAAATCTACCAGTGAGACCCCAGCTCAGCATAACAGTGACTGATATGCAGGGGAACACAACAGATATTAGACCTCCAGCACCAATATACTCTCTACCCAAAGATTCTCTGAAGCAGGATCGAGCATCGCAATCACCCCAAACCGAGACAGTACGCCGCTGACCGCATGTCAAACACACGCCTTCGTGCTCTACCTCCGAAAGGTTAACGTCCTGGGCAAAGACCCGGCCAGCAGTGAGAGACAATTAGCCAAGTCCCCTACGGCATGAATGTATGGACGAGTAATGGCCGGGATGCCTGCTACGATGGGATTCGAGAACCTACGGAGGGAGATCAGAGCACGAGAGCTTTAGTTACTCTTTGTACGTAGGTGTTGCGATTGTTACTAAGAGCTGCAGCAAGATTTAGATAAGATGAGTGTCATTGGTCATAATACTAATCATAAAAGACATCGTCACGGCATAAGAGGATATCAAAACCATTCAACTTCAAGCGTGCGAAAAAAAGATGAAATGGGTATCATGCTTAGAAACCACGCTGGGTGCCCAGGGTGCCACGGTTGTCCAAGTCAGAATCAACACGAGGATCCACCTTGTTCATCAGGTTGGAGTTGTGGGGTCCCGCGGTGTGAGTGGTAGTGCCAGGGGCGTTGTAGCTGTTGGAAGCAAGAGCCTCGTGGCGGGCGCGGTTGTCCCTGTCAGAATCGACGCGGGGGTCTACCTTGTTCATCAGGTTGGAGTTGTGAGGACCGGTGTTTGTGCTGGTGTGAGTACCCATGCCAGTGTTCATACCAGCGCCAGAACCGTGGGCGTGGCCAGTACCGTAGGAACCAGTAGTTCCGTGGGTAGTGCCGCGGTTATCCATGTCAGAGTCAACGCGGGGATCGATCTTGTTGGCAAGGTTGGAAGAATGAGGACCGTGAGCACCTCCCATGGCCTGATAGCGGGCACGGTTATCCATGTCGGAATCGACGCGGGGGTCGACCTTGTTCATCATGTTCGAGTTATGGGGGCCGACGTTCGAGCTGGTGTGGGTGCCAAAGGTGTTTCCGGCGCCGGTGCCGTGGGTAGCGGTAGTTCCGTAAGCACCACGGTTGTCCCTGTCAGAGTCGATACGGGGGTCGACCTTGTTCATCATGTTCGAGTTGTGAGGTCCGGCGTTGGTAGAAGTTGTGCCGTAGGTGTTGTGGGCACCGCTGGCATAAGCGCCGGTAGTGGCTCCAGCACCAGTGTGGGCACGGTTATCTGAAAGAGTCAATACGTCATCAGGAGGACCGAGTCGGTTCTTCTCACCTCTATCGCTGTCAACGCGGGGATCAGCCTTGTTGGCGAGGTTAGAGCTGTGAGGGCCGTGGGCTCCACCAATAGCTTCATGCCGGGCGCGGTTGTCCGCATCAGAGTCGACGCGAGGATCAAGCTTGTTCGCAACGTTGGAGCTGTGCGGGCCGCGGGTGGTGCTGGTAGTGCCAGTAGTGCCAGTAGCAGCAGAGTGGCCATGGCCAGGCTCGATGGGGCGAGGACCGTGGGTACTGGTGTGAGCGACCTTTTCACCATCTGGGCCCCGGGTTATCGTGGCGTGAGAACCAGGGTGGTGGTCTTTAGCAGTGGTTAGCATGTGCAGGAAAGCTTGAGGTGCGAATAGAACATACCATGGTCGCTGTCGACGCGGGGATCGAGCTTATTGGCGAGCTTGGAGTGGTGAGGACCATGGTTGGTGGTCGTGGTATCAGCAGTGGTGTGGTGAGTGCCGTCGTGAGTACCAGTGGTATTGGAGGTGTGGGTGGAATCGTGGTGATGGCCAGTAACGGCGTCCTTGACCTTGTGCATGAGTCCAGACATTATGATGGGTTGTTCGTATCAGGGTATATTAGAAGATAAAGGTAGAAAGTTTGATGGAAAAGTTCAATGATGATTGCTTGATTGTTCAATTCAGTACGTTGATTGTTGTATGTTGAAGATGGAAGGATCTCAAGAGCATCTCGAAGCTTTATATCTTCAATTCAGCAATGAAAACAAATGACGTCAAGTCATCGAGCTCCATTCCAACTCAATTCAGGCGCATTTCATTATTCACTCGTGGGTCCCCCCACATTGAACCTGTCATATCAACCCCTGGCAGTACCTGAATGGAGCTGCCACATACCGGTCTGGGGTCATATCATATGTCGTCATACCTACGATGGTACGGAGTAGGTCATTATGTAACCCAAGATCACTTCACCAGCCACAGTGATACCGCCACAACGGTCTACTTCGCTCCAGGCTCATGTTACGATCTGGTCATTCGCCAATGAAACATCTCAAGGTGTTACTGGTCTCTGGTCGATTGAGGTTGAAGAGATTTGTATCGCTTTAGCTATGTAGCTGGGACTTTCCACCAATCGCCATGCGAAAAAAGGCACACGGACGACAATCAACTCAACCTTATCTCATGTATAAGCCACAAGGACTGTCATAGTCTGTCACTGCTTCTATTTTAGAATCCAGTCTTCAAGTAACCAGCATCCAATATCGCTGATCATGACTTCAGCCTTATGTCTGAGGCGCCATAGTTAACTAGAAGAGGTTAGTCTGCTATGACGCGGGACAGCTTGACGCGTCGCGGTGGATATCTGGCCTCAGGCACCGTGCGCTGATGTCATCCCTACAGTCAGACAAGTACATTGTACTACACCTACTACTGGTTCCATACTGGTATCTACCTGACTTATTCTTTGATAAGATCAAAGGACAATTGCAGTGATATCATACCCTGTGCAATGAGATAAGTTCCTCCCACAGTGGAGATTCTCAGTCACAGACTCGCAGCCTCAACCAGCCTTTACTTACCCCTTACCCACAAGTCACTTCTTCGCTACGGGTGGAATTGTTGGGACTGATCTACAATTGCACAGGTAAATGCTCCATGAGATCATAGGGTCTCATATGTGCTTCGTTGCGTATCTACATTGGTTTCCTACATGTATACAGAGTATGTCGATCCTTGTGATCCTAAGTCACCATGAATCATGGCGCCAAGTAACAGTAGAATTGCAATTATTCAAGCATTGATTCTATATCCTATCACTTGCGGAAGGGATCTAAGCCTTCTTGTTGTTGATGGCAAGAAGCTCAACCTCGCTATAACCCAGTCAGCTCCCATCACTATCCACAGCAGCACACAGGGACAACTTACAAAATGAGGGTGGAGTTGCCAGGAATGACAGGGGGGAAGCCACTAAAATGAAAATGTGTCAGTTCACCGAACACAATGTCCAGGCCGTAGACACATACCGAGCACCGTAGCCGTAGTCACTATCAAATCACCCATTAGCAAACGGACTAGCTATAGAATCAAACCGAAGCAGACAAACTTACGGGGTAATGGTGAGGACAGCCTTCTCGCCAAGGCTCATCTGAGGGACACCCTCATCCCAACCTAGGTATCCTCGTCAGCACAGAACATCCCAGCGGATTCGTATCAAGATAAGGTACCCTTGATGACACGGCCGGTACCGATCTGAGTCTGGAAGGGGTCCTTCCGGTCGACGGAGCTGTCGAACCTAAGAGTCCACCATCAGTAATGTAGTCACACCAAAAGCAGGGAGTCCTGCTCATAAACACAGTGGATAGCTAGACACCTACTTTGATCCGTCGGTCAGTTTACCGGTGTAGTGGATGGTGACAAAGTCGCCCTTCTTGGGGAAGTCGACGCCGTTGCCGGCGGACACGAGCTGCTTGGTGACACCCATTGTGATTTCTGGTGGAGAATAGAGGAAGAACGAGGTAAATCTGGAGATGAATTGAGATCAGGGGAAAGGAGGAGATTTCTGTTGAATTTCCATCTCCAGGGCGGGGTATCTCAGCAAAGCGCGCAGTGGGGGCCACACCCCACCACGGTAGCTTCTCATTGGTCAGATTTTAGAAGGGAAGATTGTACCATCCTTGGCATGTGATTGAGATTCAGCTATCACTAATGAGCTACAGGTATCAATCGTCGACTCTTGGACGGTAATAACTTCTCATTATGCTAGAATATAACTCTAGACTTGTATTATAGTGTAGGTCTATATATGCATCGTCATTACCTAATCTAAAATAACTTTTGACCCTCAACTGCCCATATTCGGTGAGAATAGATGAGCTCAACCTAGACAAGGATGTTAGCAATGCGGAGAAGGATGCGCGATGATCGACTCTAAACTACAAGTACAGGCGATAAGCTGGTGTTGTTGCGTTCGGGTACCTACCTGGCAAATCGATTGAGAAGCTCGTGCCAGCGTGCGACGACCTACTTGGGATAGCCATGCGTAACACAGTCCATTTATGACTGCAATGGCACGTATCTGTGGTGTTGGGTCGAAAATGTAGTCGTCAATTACGGAGAGCCAAGGGCACCGCGGCAGGAGTAAGCCGTAGGTAGAGATCTTGACAGATCTGCCACGCTCGCTCTGAAGCAGGATGCCGAGAAGCCATGGCTAAAAGCCAGTGCATGCCTTTCTGTATGTATCTTGAAATTAGCTCCGAATCCTTGGCTCCGTGCTTGACGCGAGAGTCCAACTCGATTAACAGCACAGTGAGGGCTTGCATGAGATCATGCAAGATCCAGCACCAGGGAGCAATGCGAGCCAGCCAGATAACGTCAGGCTCGTCGGGCAACTGCGAGAGCATATTGCAGGCCGCATTGGTGCAGATCTCCGACATCTCCTTCCACCTAGAACTGGTAGCTTGACCACTTCGCTCCCATCGGTAAATAGCGATGCGGGCAATCGTCATTTTCGCGCTATAGAACTGAAAAGCAAGGCACCATCGCTGCGTCTCAAATGCCGGGTCCTCCCGAGGGCGACTGAACTGGAATGGCTCGGGCAGCCTTCTTTGCAGGGAGTTGACGGTCGAAATAAGGTCTTCAAGGGCTTTTTCCACTGAGTAGCTGCTCGACCTGGTGGCTGCCGGAGCGTACAGAAGGTTGATTGCGCATCGCATAATCCGGGCTATTTCAACTGTGAACAAAAAGTAGAGCGAGGCGCACGGCTTGACGGCGGGAAGATAGGCTCCCGCATCCGGAGCCGTTGACGACAGCAGGGATTTGGAAAGAGCGCGTCGAGCATTGGCATCTGCGAGCAAGCGAGCAACAAACGCATCCCCAAACTGGTCCTCGTCAAAAGGAAGGGGCAACGGCGCCGTGCAGAACTGATTCGCCACGCTGTACGGCCGACCGGTCATGACTGACAGAGTAGTTTCGAGAACGAAGATTGACCACCAAACTCGACAACGAAGCTCTTTCGAGATATCCAAGGTATCTTTGCTCACACTCCTGAGATGAAGACCCATAGCGATAGCGGAACAAGTTGCCGTACCGGATATTCTCCAAGCCCTGTCAACGGTGGTGTCAGAATAAAGCACAAACGAGTCAAATAGGTTATGTTCGACGTCTACTTACCTATTCACTTGACCAATGATCAGCAGGTAAAATGCAGCAAGTCCTTCGATTTGGGCTTGTTGAATGTCAGGGTGAGGAATCAAAGGCGTGTCGGTCAATCCCAGCTTGCTTCCCCGGGAGAAGTATATCGTTGGGTCGTGCCATTCGTCCGCCTCATCAAAATACGTCAAGCTCAAATGCTGCGCAGCAATGGCAAGGATCAAGTTAAAAATCGCCAGCCATTTCTTTGGCGGCTTGGATTGGGGTTCGGAGTATAACCGTCGATACTGATGTAGAAAGACCGTTTTGCCGACAATGGGGAACCCAGGATGCACCATGTCAAAGTAGGTGTCCAGAAGTTCGTCTGCGACATCTTGCGGAGGGATAGTAAATGGCTGCACCGAGAGATCAACCGAGAGCTCTTCACCATCCAGGAAATAATTGACGGAGCTGATCGAGTCTGGAAAGAGATCGTCTTGGGTTTCTGGACCTAACCATGAGGCATCCAGCCGGAGCCCTTTGCGCTTCAATTGATGCAACCATGACCTACCCGAGTGTGCACCGATGAATCCCGTCGCCTGACTTATCTTGTCCTTGTTGAAGTCTTCTTCGATGGGATCGGTGGTCGGAGTTACGAGGCGGGTAATAGCGTCGATGGATAGATCGCTGCTCGGGCTAAGACTCGCAGGCGGCGTCTCCTATGGAATTGTTAGTCCGAATGGTTAGGGGCTCTCAAGCAAATCAAAAACGACATACCTTTTCCAGAGCTTTAGCGATCAATGGCTGGTCCTTGGCATCTGCTCTCGGCTGAATGCGCCGCAGCAAACGGTAGAATTCCTTCAACCGCTGCTCGAGATCCTGCAGTCGCCTCAAGACGAGGTCAGTAACACGCGTACTGTGCTAAAGCATTGGTGCCAGTAGCTTACCTTGCGACCTTCTCATTCTTGTTAGCAACAAACACGCACTCGGCTTTCAGCTCGCGGCATCTCTCACATGGCGATCCCCCAGTGCATTTTGCCTTTTGCTCTCTACAACTAATACAAGCTCTGCTCGCTCGACGGGTCCGAGGCTTGGCCGTTGTGATGCGCGGCAAGCTGACCTTGGGTAAAGTCTGAGTTGATGGTGACTGTAGTGGACTATCGTCTTTCTGGGTACCGCCTGGTGAGCCTTCTCTTTGACGCTTCCGTATCTGAGAAGCCTGACTCCGGGGGTCCATAGGGAAAAAGCAAATCGTCAAGTGATAGATTCAGACATAATTGAAAAACTGCAAGACAATTGTCTTATGATTTATCTGGAGGATGAAGTCATTCAGACCTGGGACTTGGCCTTTAAAATGCAAAGCAACTAGATCAGGCACGAGCCACATGTGTATGGGCCCACAGCTGTCAGCTGGCCTATTTTTCCTTTTGGGGAATTAGTTTCCAGAAAGTTCTTGTCGATTCCTCCCCTTTTTGGTGTCGCGCAGCCACAGACGTAATTGTTGTTCTTGTAGACCGACTGCCATTGAACAAAGGGATTCAGGGACATTTCAAACTACTTTCTTGGATCGCCAATCACAGTTGGAGTTCAAGATCAGTGAATCTGCCCTAGTTGATCTGCATCGATAAACAAAGTGGACTGGACAGTTCAGGATCAAGAAGAGCGGGATGACCTCACCGGAGAAACGATCAGCCTGAAGGACCCACCGTCAAGCCACTTTCATCAAGCCAATTCAGCCACAGCGAATGATCCAAGCAGATTCTCCAATCGTCAGGATGCATCTACTGTTGTGCGCTATCACGGTTTGCGTCAGTCAGTGGGGATTGCGGGCAATTGCAGTATTATTACTCTTTCTGCTTGCTAAACAAACACACGGCTGCACGGTGCAGAAACAATAACAACCCTTAGTGAGTGTCGATCAAGTCGGATCGCTTCCGAATGTTCCTAGATTGCTCTCGGCGATACGGATCAATACCTTCGAGATACTGCTGGGGTGATGCTATCCAAAAGCCAGGTCACAACTGCTAGCAGCCTTTGAGTAGCCAGATAAGAAGATCATTATGTCCAAAAGCGATGATATGGTGTTATCTCTGGCAACTGCTAGTTTCAATTCCATCAATCTACTTCAGGATGGACATGTTCATATCTTCGAGGATATCACTGATTTAGATGACCTTGACGGTTCGGCTCTAACGGATGTCTCGATATCCTTCTATGAACTGCAAGCTAAAAGAACCAGTGTCGGCCGATAGCCGAGGTCCCTACACCCGAGCATTAAACCATTAGGATGCTCATCACCTTGCTAATAATCAAGTTGTCAACTGGTCAAATAGTATCGCGTGTTATTCATCTTCCAATGAATTCCTTCCGGTGACAACCTGTCTCATTTTACACTAGCCTCTTCTGGTCATGCAGCTATAACTCGAATATATATTGACTGGCCGAGTCACCCTAGTGGCCCCAGTCTCAGAAAATATTCAAACAATCAAATAGCATCGCTTCAGGTATATACAATTGCGAGAGCTTTCCCAAGGTCGGTATAGGCTTCTACAACAGCCTGCTATTGTCTCCATTGCTCTTGTCAGAACATATTCAAGGAAAAAAAAAAGAACGATACAATCCACATATTGATCCTACCCTATATACAATAAACCCTGTACAACATGCAAAACCCCCACAATCCGCCCATCAAATCACCACCATGCCATAAACACAAAAGTGCCCAACTTTTATACATCAAGCACTTTTCCTCTCTTCCTGTTTCCCAACACAAAAATCAAATACACCCCGCCCTCCTCTTCTCAATATAACTCGTAATCGGCCCATCCCCACACCTTGCATGCCGCACCAGTTCCTCCTTCAGCGAGATCAACCCATCCCGCAGCATCTGCACCTGGCACTGAAGCTCGCGTTTCGCAAGCGATAGGTCCTCGAAGCGGGATTGCAGTTGCTGGATGTACTGCTTTTTCTTGGAGCGGCATTTCGTCGCTGCCACGCGGTTCTTGTGGAGGTAGCGTTGTCGCTTGGTGGTGTCTGGTTGGGGTGAGTCGGTGGTGTGCGGGGATGGCGGTTTGGAGGATGCTGCTGCAAGAGCCTGGGGGCTTATATGCTGGGAGTCTGGGCTGGGGTGTGGGGTTGCCTCTGCCCAAGGAAAGGGGGGTTGGTCGAGGTAGAGTGGTTGAGGGGGGAGGTAGGCGTAGGTGTAGAGCTCAGCAGGAACGGCATAGGCGTATGCATTGACGAGGTTTTTCGATGCTTCTGGGGAGAACTGGGAGAATTGATTGGCGTAGGGGGACTGTGTCTCGTAGGCGGGTTGATTTGGCGAGAAGGATTCCGCTATGGTTGTAGCTGTGTAAGTGCCCGTTGAAGACGGATAGTATGGTGGTAAGAAGGAATCGTAGTTTTCCCGGCTATAGCTGGGAGGAGGGTATGATTCTGTCATTTGAGTGCACATATTACGTATATCACAACAAGAATGGAGAGTAGGTATAGTTGAAGAGAGTAAGGAGTAATAGTCTGCCTGAGGACTTAGCAGCCATGATATATGCTTGCCACCTCGTGAAGTATACAGAGGGCAGCATGTACAGGGTTGACATCTGCGCGACATGATTACGTTTGAGTTTCTTTTTTCCTAACTCAAACGCCTTGTCCTGGACGTACTTGAGATACTTTTACGATTATTGGTGGATGAGATTCAGCCTGTATCTAAGATAGTTTGCGCATGGTAACGGGATTAAGCGGTGGTGACTGGCTGTTAGCAACAGATACGAGTTGATGCTCTCTTCCCGTGTCGCTCTTGGACCTGATAATCATCAATGATATCAGGACTTACATTAAAGAATCAAACCTATCGCCGTGCGAGGTTTCTTATCCCGAAAGTAGTTACCCCTTGCCTTTCCGGTCATTATTCCGAAGCTATATACAGGACGGACTGGTTGATTAGGCTTGCACGTTGACTGTGTCGGGATCTCGGTCACAGACCATTAGAACATTCTACTTCCTCTGGTAGCTAGAACTGCCATAATTCGGGGTTGGCGTCTTATTTGTATCCCAGGTTCCTTGGCTGGTTGGTACTTAGGAGGAGGCTGGTTACACGATGCGTGCTGGTGGAGATGATCTCCATTATTGTTCAATGGGGCAGAAAGTACCTTGGATAGTGGCGTTTGACCTGAGACGGACTATGTCCGGCACAGCGGATTGTTCTCTTCGCTCAGATCACTGTTGACCATTGAGGGATGCATTAATCTCAAGGAGACCTATAGCTGCACGCGGTGGACAAAGGTTGACGATCGATCCACTCGACATATTTCAAGGCAAACCGATTCTCGAAACTCATCTGCATGTCGACATACCGTCTTGGAGATCATTTCCGATATTGTTCTCATTGGTCTCAGGATCAGACTCAGACACGGGCCAGCTCGAGTGATTGTGGGGTGGGGTTGCCAAGGAAGCACCACCATCAGGCAATCGGACCCTCGAGTGAGGTAATTGAGACGACCCATGTATTTTGGGTCAGAATATGAATGGTTCGGATGCATTCCCCGACGGTTGAGTCGACAATCACAAAGACATACCCTGATACACAGGCTGGAAGTCAGACGCTGGCACTGGAGGAGAATGAGGGGTAACAGGATCAACAACACCAGCCCCACCACGAAACAGGCTCATCAACGGGATCGTCGATACTGTCGATGGGATACTTTTCCGAATCCACCAGATACCTTCTAATATTGATTGGATAAAGGATTCGTTTTGGCTCTGATGATGACGCGGACATTGGATGTAGGCATTTGGAGCTATAGCAAACCATGTTTCGCTGCTTTGTGGACGGTCTTTGATAGCCTCGAGGCCCTCGACGGCTACAATCGGCCAGTACGAACTGAATCGTCATGTTTTGTTATCTTCAGCCTATCTTCCTCCGACTTAAGCAGATGTCATCAGGAAACACGAGTTCTATGGTGGAATAAAGTGCATGCGAGATACATCCAGAATGTATCCTTGGGTTTCGGAAGGATTCCGGCCTTTCCTATTCGGCCGGCCTCGTCTCCAGCTGTCTTCTATTGGCGGGAGGTACGCGGGGAATTTATCAAAGGTCCCGCAAACTCAATGTCAACGAACGGGGGGAGATAGGCAGTAGTCGAAGTCGATAAAGTGGAGCAGTGCACAGGGCACAACCCGGTTCTGAAGATTGACTTGAGCCTCGTGTTGACATAACGGCGAGGCCTCGATGCCTTTCACATGTGTCCAGTGTCCCACATATCAAGCGGTTAGCTCTGGGCTGATCGATAGACATGCCATACTATCCATGGATTATCAGACGTCTTTCAAATGGGACGACGTGATACATGACCAATCATAGCCAGATCGTCGAATGTGGCTGCATTGAGCTGAAACACTGCTAGGAGAAACGCCTGCGTCAAAAGCCGGAGTTGGAAGCAGTATCGCTAAGCATCAAAGCAGATCTTATTCGGATGAACATGGCCCAGATCAAACTATCGGAGGTCCCTGTTGGAAAATCTTGCCGTGAAATCCTCAGGGAGAATACCTGACCAAGATCAGATGTCGAGGATACCATGTATGCTGCTGCTCACTAAAAAGCTGCTTCGACCTTGGCGAACAGTATACGAAACCATTATAGGTAAATGGTCAGCGACATTATCCGATTTCCCTTTGAATCCTCCCGTCTCCGCGGACTTGCTGAGTTTTCTAAAGGCCGGAACGTGGCTCAATCTCGCTTCGATACGTCCTAAGTGCTGGCTCCAGTCAAACTCTTTTCCTCTCAGTGATTCTCATCTGAATCGAAGTAGCCTGGCAATTGGCCTGCTTGAGAGCACACAGCTACAAAGTCAGTACAGCCATATTCGGTCCCCTCGCAGCTGAATCACTACCATCAGCGAGCACATTGTATTGCTTTACCCTCACAGCTACACTAACTCAGCCCTGGGGACAAATCCTCTCCGCCCCTCTTTGCGAACAACGACGCGACGGAGCCCTTGGTACGATAAGGATGTCGGTGTCTGCTTCGGAGCAAGTTCTGGGGGCTGCATGTAAAGTTCTGATCCGTTGAGACTGTGCCTTTCTCGGCTAGTAACAGTTAAGGTTCACGTACATATCGATTATTTGGCCTTCATAGGGAGGTCACTGTACATTTTACTTGCGAAGAGGGACCACTAACTCAAACCTGTCTGACCCAGTGGTCCGGTGTATTTATTGGTCCTCCCGAACTAGGAGATTATGTTCTGGATCCAGCTAAGCGCCTTTCGCCATTGACGATTCCCGTACTCGTTTTATATACCGCAACAACTGTGTTTCTAATGGAAGAGCTGTGGATGTCATTGGTGACGGTGGTGGATGAAGAAAACTTCGAGCCGCATGGGGGGTTCGAAGAAAAATAGAGGTGCCCGCTCAGGCAGTAGTGGACTTCAGCTGTATAAACCACATCATTGGTACCCGTACTCACGCAGGAGATGATTACCCAAGATGTAAACGTTTGGAAAATTGGGATCTGTCAATGTACTTCAGGATGTAGCTTTGGCTTTGAGCGACATCCTTTCGTAGCAGCAACAAGACAAAGGAGCTTCTCGACGGTTTTTGGCATTGTTGTCTTTTCCATGACGGTTGATCACATTGCAGGTATTGCACATGATGGCAGACTTGATCGAGAAGGCTTTATTGATTGATATGATGAAGTAGTTGGTTGAGTTTGGTCAGGATCGTATGAAAGTATGGGGGTGGTGTGTGAAAAAGCAAACCTCGAGCCGGGAAAGGGATCTCATTACCAAAGACCGTCAGTAATGTATCAATACTACGTCCTTTGCAGGGAGTTACCTCCGCACTGTATGGCATTTTGATGACCAGGTCAATGTTTCTTGCTGGACATTTGAGTTAACAATATCACCATTGTGCTGCGTATAGACTGACTCTGTGTCTGTCTCCTGATAGTGCTTTCTTCTTAATGATAGAAAGGGGCATATTTATTTATATTACATACATTGTCTTCATTGTCTTTGCTGTCCCTCATTTCAGGGTGTCTAAGCCCTTGTTTGTTTTGTCTTGTGAATGAAAAAGACAACTCTCCCAACTGCACCCAACCCGTCTTAATTTTGAAGCCATTATGAATCTTCCACCAATTCTTCTTCTTCCTTATATTCCATGATATAATATTCTACTTCGTCATCCATACTTTTTGGGAGGTGTCAGTGCAGAGAACATGAAGCAACAGTTAACAGAGAGCCTAGTTCGGGCACTAAAGGCGAGAACTTTTCTCCTTTTTGACTCAAAACTATTCATCCTTGACATAAATGTCAGAGAGGCTGCTTGAAATGCATCAAGGGGGTACTTCCTATCTTTCTTTCATCAACCATAGCATCACTTTTTATTACGGCCATCACAGATCAACTCTCTCTTCAAATCTATCTACTGTTTGAATGCTCAGCAAACTTCAATACACCCTCCTGCACCATGACTGCAAACCGCAAAATGAAACGATCTCCCTCAACAGCGCTAAGTCGTAATCCACTGATGCAGCGGATGTGATGTCCTCCAACCGTCAGTATTCTAAGCGCCGACATGCCAGGGTCCAACAAGTTCATACCAAGAGTTCACCGGCGCTTAGCCTTCCCAAAATAAACCAGCAGATAAATGACTTAAAGAGCCTCTCGACACATCTCCCATTCTCTCACCTCTAACGCTGTCTCGAGCAGCACAATGTCTCTCTCGGCAATATGTCTCATCCTTATTCTCACCCTCACATCAGTCACAGCAACATGTTACTGGCCCAACGGTGACACAGACAACAACTACATCCCCTGCCCCAACAGCAAATCCTGCTGTCTCAAGGGCGAAGCCTGCCTCTCCAACGGCCTCTGCTACGGCGCAACCCTCAACATCGCCTATCGCGGTGCCTGCGCCGATAAATCCTGGCCGGCCCAGGACTGTCCGCACGTTTGTCTCGATTGTACCGTACCAGTTCTACCTTGCCGTATGGCCTTGACTAATTTGAATAAAGCGATCCCCGACCACTGGGCGAACCTCTACTCGTGCCCCAATTCCTCGACAAATGTGTTCACGTGCGGGTATGCGGGGTGGGCGACGGACGTCTGCAGTGCGAATCTGGGGCAGTGGCTGTGGGTGAGTGGGGACGTGGAGGTTGCGAAGAATGGAAATCCGAGCCCATCTGCCTCTGCTTCGACGGTGCAGGACATTATCACAACCACGTCGTCGGTTTCTGGTTCGTCTACGGGGACGCCGAGGGGGACGATTAAGGGCGATATCGTCACGACTACTGGGTCTGCGACTGCCACGGCCACGGGGACAGGGACAGAGACGAGTACTCCGAAATCCACGGATACCTCTATCTCTGCGATGACGCTCGGGGCGGGATTAGGGGTTGGACTAGGCGTCCCATTGCTTGTCGTATCGGGGTTACTAATCTTTTTTATCCGGATGAGAAGGCGAACGCCGGCAGCGCCAGCACCACGGGGCAATGAAAAGCCCTACCCCGGAGCTGCGTACTATACAGGCCCGGCGGAGATTGCTACGCAGAGACACAACATGGCGACGGAGCTGGAGGGGTCGAGGCATCTACCGGACCGACCGGAGTTATATGGGTAGTTAATTTACGCGCATACTTGTATTGAAACGTACATTTCTTCTCAAATCTGCCACCACCCCGGAGTGGACCATAAGTCCATCGTACTAGCCTGCCCCTGCACATCAGCCCACGCTGTGGGACTCACCCAACTAATATAATCCCAAACGTCCTGACTTGACACTCCCAGTTCATTTCCCGCGTACGCCACCGGAACGGTCTGCGGGACCTGCACCCCCGGCTGCAAATGAGCCGGATACACCCTCCCCGCCGCAGCAGGGGACGTCTCATCCGACGAAGCCACCGACACGGCCACCAAGCCCAACCTCGCCAACGACGCCCGAAAAATCCTCGCAATGAGATCCAGACTCGGCCGCGCAGTCGGATGCCACGCCTCGACGCGCGATATGGCAGCCATGGCGACCTCGACCTGCTCTCTGCATGACTCCACCAACTCCGCATCCGTGTCCGTTTCCCCCTTCGCCTCCGCGGCAAGAATACTCAACGTCAACAGCGGCACCAGACTCGCCTGGAACATATGCCAGATGACACCCCACGCAGCCGTGGGGCTTTTCACCTGCGCCTCGGCAATATCGACTATCGCCTCTCTCGCGAGCAGCTGACACTTCTCGATCGCGAGGCGCTCTTCGGTATGCAGCGTGATGGCAGGGACGCGGCGGAGGGCATAGCGCAGCAGGAAGGGGCGGTAGAGGAGGATGCGCAGGTTATGCAGAGCCCAGCGCATGCGGGTGCGGGCTGTATGGATCGAGTCCGGGCATGGTTCGTACGTTTTCAGGAGCGGTGGGAGCTGCGCGTACCAGTCTGTTAACTCGGCGTCGAGGTCTTGGAGTTGCTGGTAGGTCGGGAGAGGGGATGCGGCGAGGGCTTCCTGGGCGCGGGTGGCGATCTGGCAGAAGCGGATGTTTTCGAGGAGGATGAGGGTATTGGATGAGTTCTGCTTAGTGTTAGTTTAGCAGAAATTGGGGGGGGGGAACACGTACAGCTGGCGGCTTCGTCGAGACGGCCATGGATGAACGGCCTAGCGTCGGCCGTCCGAGAGTCATGCAACCCCATGTATCGAGGCAGTAGAGCGACCACCAGATCCGCCGGCGCAGGTCAACGGGCACAGAGGACGACTGGAGCGGTCTGGTCTCGCTCGCGTCTGTGTCTGCGGTCTCCTTGTGTAGACCCAGGGCGGTGGCCATCCGTACCGCGGCTCCGATGAGCACGTACGCCAGGCTCGGCTGGCTGATGTAGTGCAGGTAGTGGCCGGCCATGATGCCGAGGGTCTGGACGGTCTCGATGTGTGCGCGGCCGAGGGATTCGAGGGAGAGGTGTTGGCGCGCTCGCTTGCAGTAGACGATGTGCGTGGTGTCGTCGCTGGGGTAGAGGGAGATGCTGCCTAGGGCGAGGACCATGTTCATGAGGGCGAGCCAGGGCTCGTCGTGTCGGGCGTTGGATACATAGGTCTGTCGGAATTCGGTTTCGTCGAGGAGCGGCATGGAGGGATGGATGAAGTTGAAGTAGGCGTCGATGAGCTGGTCGCTGGCTTGGGACTCGGTGGATGGGGGTATGGACACTTGCGGTTTCCGTCTAGGTTTGTTTCCCGATGGAATTGTATTGAACGGTCGAGCCATTGATTCCGGATTGACCCAGCTGATGACCTTAAGGACGGCATTGATGGAGGAGATGCCTAGATATGTGGACGGCGGACGCGTCGCCATGGAGAGCGCGTTGACATCATCAGATACACCATCCTTGTCATTGACAGCATTAACTTCACCACTCTCAGCATTTCCCATTGACATCGCCTCCAAAGAGGATCGCGAGTGCTCTTCATCCAGACTCTCTGGAGGCTGCGGAGGGGGTCGATCCGAGCCAAGTATACTATCTCGCAACAGATCCAGGAGCTCCTCACGCGTCAGAGCCACAAGCGACTGCAAAGAGACTGAAGGAAACAATCTCTCCAAAACAGACCGGTACTGACTATCGGCATGGGAACCATTGTCTCGCGTCCCGCTGTGTGGCACTCTGGGATCCGAATAGCGGCACAGCTCGGGCTTCTTGTAGTACAGACACGGCTCACAAGGATGCGTCCCTGTGCAGCGGATCTTGCGTCGACGACATTCCTTGCAGGCTCGTAATCCTGGTCGTCGTCCACGGCGTTCGTCTCGGGTCTCTGTGCACGGGCTGTGGCGGACCTCAAATGTGTGGAACATTTTCAGTGAACGTTTTCATAGAAGCAAGTCGAGTAATCGTTGACACTGTCTTCAGAGAGCATGTTCGAAGTTGTCAGTTGAGTAGAGGACTGGTTGAAATGACTCTGAGGTGATCGTGTCGGGGTGGCCACTCCCATCCCCTACTCCTGTTCTTGCATAATCGGTCATAATAGTGATAATAAGACTATGGCTGAAATGAGATTGCATCTGACACAATACTTGCCCCGGATTCTACCCCGCACAGTGAAATTACACTAAAGCCAGGAAGCTAACACACATAGTGTGACTGTCGGGTGTGATGGGCATCTGCTCTCGGACCCTATACGCCAGGATAATGCATAGTTATCTGAACGCATCACAGTCTGCTGACTGGCAACCAGCAGGAACAGGAAATTGCAGCAGTTATAGTTCAGGCGCCAGACTTTAGGCTGTCGAGTACGGAGGTGTCCATTGTTAAGTCTCAGTTCTTGACACCCTGGCCTTAGTCGGTTTCAGATAAAGAGTCTCCGGCTAATGTTGTCAAAACCCGAGTCTACTTCATATATTCATAGGAGAATGGTCACAAATTTAATTTAGGGGTCTAGGGGTCTCAAGCTACAGAAATATAATACGTATCAACATGCTCGTTTCCATAGAGGCATCAAAAGACTCATATCCCCTAATTCATATCTCCCCTTGCAACTATGCAACAAGATCAGGCAGGGTGGACTTAATCTGAAGTTCTGCTATCCGCCTTGGACCTTAAAGTCTTCTTACAGAATGACATCCAACCAACTGACGACGGCCAAGTGGACGTGAACTGTTAGCGTGGAATCTCAATGCCGAAAGGACTAACTCATATCAAGGAACGTGATTCTTGCCTTACCTTATCAGGAAAGCTGGTTTGCTTCAGGCGTCAATTCTTGATCTACTGCCGAAAGGCCCAAGTTCGAGGCTTTGAAGTCGGCTGGGAGTGAAGCTCATCGGATCGTCGGATCGAAAGCCGGTGTATGCTGAACTCTATGATCTATAAGCGCTGAGGATGACAACATCATTTTGTTATGCATCTGACTGTGAATATGTGACACCCACTCAGCCATTGCTGAGGAGTACGTCCTCCTCCCTGCCGTAGCACTGTGTTCTCCCCCACAGTGACACAATGGCCATCACAGCTGCCTTACGAGGCATCGATCATGAGAACATCACATGATGCTTTCGCGGCTATACTTCACTTCTCTTAATCAGGGATTTTTCTTTTCTTCCCCCTGACCCACATCTGCCGCAAACATCAAATGGAATGCCGGGTTAGATTCAAGGATCCAGTCCATGCTGACTACAAAACTGACACTTCAAGCCCCGCCAGAAGATGCATGCATGCACGAGATCCGAACCCTCATCCACTCAAACACCACCCTTCCAGAGAGGCCTTCGGCATTCTGTGTTAAAAGACATCCTACGCAACTTCAGCTTGTTCGGAAAAGTAGCTGATTACAAGGTCCTAAATACAGAACAGGTATCGAGCGCGGTCAGACTGTTCGCATCGAATGAGCTGCTTGCCGTCCATAAAGATCAGTCGGAGAAGACTTTCAAAGGTTTCGATGAACGGGATGGTCTCGAGGGAGACATTGACGAACCCGGATTCGGAGATCATTCCGGAGGTATTGAAGAAGGGTCGTGCATGATGCCGCCTATTGCCAGAGGTAGTCCTAGCCTTCGAAATGAATGCTAACATGCATCAGACTGATCTTCCACCCGAGGACTCATCGCCGCATCAGCATAGGCGCATCCGATGGCATCCCATGTAGCGACACGTCACTGTGGTCATGCACTGTTTCACTCTCAGGCGCTTCAGTCGCGGAGTCAAGTCGATCAGCGTCAAAATGGAAACCTGGTCGTTCCGCAGCCCCAGATTGAAATGTCTGATTGAAATAACGGGAGACCCGCGCAGACTGACAATGCCAATCAATCTATTTCTTGCAGGTCCTGACCTCCGGCACGGTTGAGGTTCTTCTGGAAGCCATGAGAAGGGGATGATCTCCCAGAAATAGTTTTGCAGCGGACCGTCTTGGCGTATAGGGTGACTTGACGCGCTCTTCATACAGTGGCTGAGCGATCAACGCAGCAGCTGTATGATTTGCTGCGACTTCCGGCAGATTGTGTAGTCGTTCGGGTTGGATGGTCGCCATCGGGGGACTTTCGTTTGGTAATGAATCATGGATGTCCTTCCAGTCACTGAGATCGCGCGAGGAGGATATGGCATCAGGGTGATTAGGCCCCAATGTTTTATTGTGAAGCTCAGAACATTTTCCCACTAGGGCTAAGGCTTCTTGCAGCTTTCCTTGGGATTTCCAGGTATAGGCCAGGTTGTGCATGCCGGCGAGAGTGTCAGGATGTTCAGCCCCTAGGACAATCTTCCTCATCTCTAATACTTGTAACTCAAGCTTCTCAGCTTCATCCCATTTTTCCTGCGCCCAGTAGATTGATGCTAGGTGCGCCATGCTGATAAGAGTATCAGGATGTTCAGCCCCTAGAACAGTCTTCCTCATCTCTAATACTTGCAACACAAGCTTCTCAGCTTCATCCCATCGTTCCTGCGCCCAGTAGGTTAATGCTAGGTTCGACATGGCCATGAGAGTATCAGAATGTTCAGCCCCTAGCATGGTCTTCCTCATCTCCAATACTTGCAACCCAAGCTTCTCAGCTTCATTTAATCGTCCCTGCTTCCAGTAGGTTAATGCTAGGTTTGCCATGCTGGATAAAGCAGAGGGGTGATTGGGCCCAGTTTCCTCCTGTTTGATCCGTATTAGCTCGGTGTATAGCACCTCTGCTTCATTCCATCTCCCATCTTCGAAAAGGCAATCTGCAATATTCTGAATCAAATCAATATACTCTTTCCACTGTGCTGTGAATACATCCTCATATGCAAGGGATAAGGCGTGTGGGAGGTATTCTCGCCAGAGTCCTCGATTTGTATGGTGATCATCTGGGAACACCTTGCGCATCTGATCAGCGGCTCTCTGGATCCAGTGACTAAAGAGTGTATTCTTTTTCAACCAGTTCCTTGCCGCAATATGCACCAGTCTATGTAAGTTTAAGCTCGTATCTTGGCTGTTGATAAATGCATATGCATTCAGAAGTCCCAAAGCATCAATTCCACGTTTCCTGGATTTTGGCATGGGAAGAAGGGACTGGGGGATGTTTCGTGGATTAATACAGGCCATGAAAGATAGAAGGTCGGCTGCCAGTTGGTCCTGGCGTTGGATCTGTTTGAATGAGATTAACCATGTGGTGATCACTGGGTTCTGGAGATCCTTATATCGCCCTTCATCTTTGAAGTCTTCGCTCAAGAGTTCCACTACCTCTGGTTCATGTTCTTCTAGAAGCGCAGAGTAGGTGGACAGGCTCAGGCCATTTTTATTAATGTATGCCGATGCCTGCGTGATTGCCAAGGGCAGAAACACCAGTTTCTCCAAAATAGCAACTGCTGTGGGATGATCCTGAAGCAAACCCGTATCTACCAGTGACCTCTCGAGAATTTTTATTGCGGTGTCCTCATCCACATCTGGAATGGGAATGATATTAGAGGATGTTAGCTCCACGGCAAGTTTTCGGTTCCTTGTGGTGAACAGAATGCGGCCTTGTTCGCTCTGAGGGAGACAGTCCTCAAGAGCTGGACCTGGGCGATCATCTGACAGCCACATCTCCATGTCATCAGCGTTGTCAAAGATCAGAAGCCACTTCCCGGCCTGCTCGGAGCTGAGGTATCTTTTGACTTGCTCCTTGACTTCTGCCGGCTTCACATCGTGAAGCCCAACAGTCTGCGCGATATTCAGGTACGCCTGCTCCATCACCTCATAGCTAGTGCATGCAAGCCAGAAGATCGAGCACTCCGTATCTCGTTCCCGTATGCGGTATGCGAGCTCCAAGGCCACTTGCGTTTTCCCAACCCCTCCTAAACCTGTAATGGCGACTTTTCTGGGCCCGTCTTTCATCATAATTAGCTCTTCCAGTCTGGTGAATTCGTTCTGACGACCAACGAATCGCGGATTCCTTCCCAGTGGGACCATATAGTGACCCATTCTGCAGTTGTTCTTTGTCAAGCCCTGAGTCATGAGAGAGACGGGCATGGCCGACAGCAACCATTTCGCATAGGCAGCTGCTGTCAAAGCCGCATATCCCTGCCACTCCTTCTGTTTATGAGAGTCGCAGTAGTCGCATATCCCGCGGATCACCAGGGTCGGAAGCCCGTCCATAAGGCCTGCTGCCTCCATCTCAAAACAGAGTATGCCATGCTGATGAGCGAGACGGTCTCGAGCTTCAGAGTCCTTCATCACTTGGTCTCCAGATGCAATCAATCCATAGTGGATATGAGGTGTGTCGGGTGTCCGCGGCAGTCGGCAGACTAATTTGTTTTTGTCGCACTTTTCGCAGTTGCTTTCTGGGTCAACGTGGCGATACGAGGAACGAAACAGATAATCGGACCGCTGATTTGGGGGCGAAAATCGGTCTTTCATGCCAGGATTTCGATCCAGTACATCCCGCACTATTGTCGAAATAGCACCCTCTTTCCTAATCATCTCCCTCGACTCAAGGTGAGCCACATGTGTCAGAAGAGTCTGTGGCGGCTTGTTTAATGTGCCTGTCGGCTCGAATTGTCCGCCTTGAACTGCCTTGCCGTAATCATATTGGATCACTCCACTGTATCTTCCGACAGGCTTGCTGACGACCACATCCCCCAACCGGATGTCATTACTTGTACTGGGTACCCCTCCTCCAATCCCCACCATCAGACCAAACTGGACCCGTGGGAAGGTTGAGACCATGTGAGCCATGACTGTGGAAGCAGATATGGTTCCATATATGCCATCTGGCAGACAGGCAATCACGATATAATGGCCGTTCAATTCACCAAGTACGTATGCATTCGGATCAGTGGAAGGCTTAGGCAGGAGATTATGGGTCTTGTCCAGCATGACGCTTGCCGCTGCCATCTCCAACGGGAGGGCGCATATCCACGCGACTGTGTAGTCATCGTGCGTTAAGGCCATGGTTTCGAAAAGTGAAACAGGACATAATTAGTGAAATCAGACTCCTCAGGGACTGCACGAACGCAAAAGCGAAGGGATTCTAACTGCGCACAGGAGTATGTCAAGGAAGAGTTGGAAGGGAGGAGGGGTAATCAGCTGTGTGTTCTGACGAGGCTGTCGCTCTCAGCACCTGCCTATTGGTTGAACACAATCATTATCATTGGATAATTCATCATAAGCAGTGACTTCTAGCTTCTTGATACTAACTCTATTGTCGGCCTATCAGCAATTCTATGTTCACAAGATTTGTATAGCCTCCCCATCCCGACAGAACTGAAGAATACGCACAATGGCATTTAGCCTTCATCGGATCCTGTATGGCAAAACTGTCAGTTACTGGTCTGCATACTCCAATGTTCATGTACATGCACAGGCATCTATCCCTTCGTCACCTCGTTATCTGTCATGAGCAAACTGCCATCGGCCAGTCGATCAAGCTTTGTAGGCATCTTATACGAGGACATGTATCTCAGAACGAGTTGTATCTCATTCGAGTGAGGCACACGTTCCACTTCACCATTAGTCCATTACCGATGCACGGGATCCGGGTATCAGAGTCAAGCTGCTGGTGAGAGGCAACAAGTCCGGCGGGAGGATATCTGGAACGTAGTGAGAATGGATACGACTCTGGGCCTCTAAAGCATCTAAAACTTCATATTGATTAGGGTCAGGACCTCACGTCAAAGGCTTCTTATTCCTTGATATGGTGCCGTAGATTCATTTAGAACTTTTATCTACCTATGCCGCCCAATTAACACACCACCTCCAAAATTGAGATTTGACTCCGACACGGCCAAATTTTCTTCAAAGTCAGTCCTGCCTGACGGAAGAGAGCCCGGAATTCGGCTGGTGTTCGCTCGATACCATTGGCGACAGCCATAAGGTCCAAGTCCCTTTAGTGACTGTATCTCTTATGAACCCCATAGTTCGGAGGAAGACACGACTCAGTGGAATTAGCGGAGTCCCGGGGAGTAGTTCCCATGACCTGCTCGCAAATAAGGATTCGGGATCCAGAGGTCATCGATTTCCGGAGGTTGGAAAGGATGTTAACACAACTCTCATCATCCCAGTCGTGCCTATCACCCTTGGGTCAGCTTCATAGCGTTTCTAACCAGATTGAAAAGTCAAAACCTACAAAATGTAACGTAACCAATATATGTCAGCGGTGTTATTGGAGGTGGCATTGGTAGAGTTTCGTTCTCGCTACTATCTCTAGTTGGACACTAACATAGCCAGGGGGTTTTGCAACCGCATTATCCCTTCGTCGTGCAGGACACGCCGTGACTATTCATGAGCGAGCGGACGCCATAAGAGACGCCGGAGCATCGATCAGCTGTGCTGCAAACGGGACTAAATGGTTAGCCGAACGGGGTGTTGATATCACACTGGGCAACCCCATCCAGATCCGCCGCCAGATCCGGCATGCGTAGAGACTGGGGAAGTGGGAGATGTCCTTGATCTGTTCGATTATGTGGAAAAATGGGGATATGTGAGTAATCTCGTGGTTATATAACAACCGGACCTGGTTATCGAATTACTACAACTTCTATCGGTTTGATATGCATACTATGATGGAAGCTGCCACCGGTCCGGGGGGAGGGGCAACCTGCTGTGCTTCGATTGAACCACACATACGAGTCATTAGACGCGGAGAAAGGTGTTATCACCTTCACCAATGGGACATCCGTCCAGCACGACATCGTCGTTGGTGCCGATGGAGTTGGCGTAAGTGATGCCCACTCAATCCTATACCCTATTGAGAAGAGCCAGCCACAAGGGCCATTTATAACAGTATTCTACGTCTAGTCCTCTGTACGTCGATCATTTGGAATTCCCCCAGAGCGCAAGAGAGCAACCGCCACCTGCTATTACTGTCTAATCACAAGCTCCGATGTTCAGCGGTTGGGCCTTTCAGACATGATGCGAAGCGACGCAATTGAATACTGGGGCAACGGGGAGTACAAGGTAGTTTTGTCTGCATGTCGGGGTGGTAGCGTCCAGTTGTTGTTTATCTTCTCCCCTGCCTCTCCAGAGGATATTTGGCAGAATCTTGAGACCTGCGATGCACAAGGGATCTCCGACCAAGTACTGCAGCCATTTCCTGGTCTGGACCCGAGAATTCCCCGGTTGGTTACCCATGCAATCGATATCCGTCCTTGGCGACTCTTTGAACACTCCCCCTTTCCGACCTGGCACATGGGTCGAGTGTGTCTTATGGGGGACGCGGCGCACCCGATGATGCCTGACCAAAGTCAGGATGGTTGCCAGTCTATAGAAGATGCTGCTGCGCTAGGGATCATCTTCTTCGAGAAATACAAATTTACGTCAGATGTCAACGCCGGGCTCTGTGTGTATGAGCGGGTTCGTAAACCGCGGGCTAATAAGGTTCAGGCCGCGAGTGCATGAGCTCGGACGGACATTTCAGAGCGGATTGGTTTCTCGACTCTCACAATCCCGAAACTTTTGATTACGGGACGAGAGTAGGCCAAGAACGATTGATGATTTGCCATGGCAGCCTTGGGGACTCCGGTCGATCCAGAAGTGAACACTGCAAGCAGCGGCCAGTCTGGGTAGACTGCCGGAAGAGAATGGGTGGACTGCCGGAAGAGACACATCCTTGAGGAACGGATACTGAACGTCCACGACTACCACTCTGGTCCCGGGCTCCAATGCAAGCTGGACGGTGGCTGTCACGGTGAGAACCAGGTCCAATTTTGCTTGCCGGCAGCTATCGATCAGGCGCTGCACGGGCACGGCAGGATCAAGTAGAATGAATGCAGCACCAGACTTGATCACGGCCAACATGGCGATAGGTGTCCAACCGGATTTCTCCAAGCATATCGGCACGAATTCCCCTGTCCGCACGCCAATTGCCACCAGGTGTTGCGCGAGATTGGTGGAGAGCTCATCCAGCTCTTGGTATGTAAACTGAATGTCCCACGCATCGACGGCTAGGCGGCTGGGATGTTCCACACATTCGTGGCAAATCAGCTCATTAACGCTGCGGGCCGACAAGGCGGGAATTTGCCGGTTCCATGATTAGATCTCCTAGATGTCCCCAGGATTCGGTGTCATGCAATCGTCGATAGTTGTTGACAATGGGGCAACGCATATGGCGTGAACCATATGTTTCAGCTGGCGTAGTATGCGCCGTACCTGCCGTGCCGGGACGAACTTTGGGTCGAACCAGGCCTTTATTTCAACGGGATCCACGTTGAGATTACAGACTCGGGTGAGAGTGTAGGTGCAAAATGCGGCGAAACTGGATTCTTGTGCTTCTGTGCCCAGCAAGCTGAAGCCAGTGCTGCCATCAATTTGCTGGATGACCAGTAATGTCTGGAAATCGCACGCCGCAGCGATATCGCCACCCCATCTTCTCATATTTTGCAACCCGGTCTGCTCATGAGGAATGCTTTGCACGGTCTGTTGAACTAAGCGGTCCAATGTGTCCTCGATCGATGCAGCGGGATCCAGCTGGATTCGCAATGGCATAGTAGCCACTGTCGGACTGGTCATGTTGAGTATACCGGGGATGGGAGCATTTCGCCCGGACACAATCACTCCATAGACGATATCATAATTACCTTCATATTGGGACTGGACCATGGCCCAGGCAAGCCGCAAAACGGCCGAACGGGTAAATCTTTCGGGGGCGACCAAGTTAACCGAGTCTAGCCAATCTGCCGCCCTCTGCGGTTGGGGACGGCTGATAGGACATGGGCAATACTGCCGGAAAGACCTCTGCACTGAGGCCGGAGAGATAGTTCGTCAAGTACTCCTTATGGTCCGGGAGATGGCTGACGTAGTTTACCAACGCGGAGAAAGGGGGTGATGCTGGCAGTGCGTTCCCATGATAAACCGCTTCCACTTGATCCAGAATCCTCCGGAAACTCCACCCGTCGATCACCGAATGGTGCATTGTCAGAGCCAGTTGAAGGCAATCGGCGATGGCCTGCCGATGAATAGACATTTTGACCAGCGGAAGACCAAAGTCAATCTCGAGACATGGGCCGGCCTCCGGTTCGCCCGAATTCAATAAGCCGTCTGCCTGGTCCCACCTGGGTATTTCTCGAAGACCTGATAGATGCGTTGCGAAGATGATAGTATGATCCTGCTCCTCAAAGCTGCGGTTTGCTGAAGAACCCGAACCCAAGCTCCACGCAAGCGCTCCATCTCAGCATCCGAAAGGTTGCGGAACTCAAACACCCAGCGGCCAACATATCCTCCTCCAGCCTGCTTCCTGACGAGGGCAAACATTCCTTCCTGAAGAGGTGTACATGGGTATATATCCTCAATCATGGATCTTTCAACTTGGCACTGATCGCAAGCTGCCTGTATGACACCCTCTCTCGGATCCGCCTCGTGCAGCTGGGAAAACGGAGATACCGTCCAATTGGCGCCTCCAGCGATGGGTTTACTCTGGGCCACCCGAGCCAGTTGAGCTACTGTTGGATAGGTGAGGCCTCGCCAACGAGGGCCACGGCCTTGATCGAATCTCCCCCGCGGTGGAAAAAGTTATCGACAACTCCCACATCACCCACGGGAATGTTGAGGGTGTTGGCCACCAGCAACGCTAACAACGCTTCGATTTCCGTCGAAGGTGCAACGTACAGGTGATTCGTCTGGTCTTTCCCCAGCAGCTGGTGGCGGCTGCGCTTGTTGGCGTATGTGCAGAGGCGCCGGCGGTCTAGTTTCCCAGTGTGCGTGAGGGGAACCTTAAGGAAGGCAAGGAAGAGGTCCGGCACCATGTACCGTGGCAGTCTGGTGGACAGGAGTGCCACGGCTGCGTTCACCCGGGTTTGAAGGTTGGAGGCGAACCGCTTCTCGAGAGCCACATATCAGAGTGGGGACCACACGTTCGACTGATCCAGTCTTATGGACTCACGGACTGCTCGGGTGCGTTTTCCGTCTCAGACCAGCTATTCCCGTCAGATCTCATGGAGAGATCCATTGGATACCCAGTCTCCGGGAGATGTTGGATTGCAGATCCCCAAGATCACAACCGGCTCCGCGGTATCGGAGATGTCGGCGAGCTTCTCATTGAAACCCCCAATCTCGCACAAGGTTACCTCTACAACTCGGAGAGAACGGCAGTCACCTTCGTTTCGGCGCCCTCCTGGATTGAGAAAGAGATATTAGTACGAAATAGCCGCCCAATGGTGCTCTATAAGACAGGCAACTTGGCCCGCTTCAACCCGGATGGCAGCCTGTGTCATTTAGGCCGGAAGGACCATCAGCTCAAAGTACGTGGCCAGCGGGTGGATCAGGGGAGTTGGAATATCACCTGCGCCAGGTGCTGTCCGATGTTGAAGATGTAGTCGTATATATGGTAGTTCCGGCCGAGACGAATGGCGTTCCTTCTCTTACAGCTTTCATTCTGCGGGCAGATGAACACGCAAGACCTGAGCATGCGCCCATGCATCATCACCCTCTCTTCGCAGAACCAACATTGGAATTTCTGGAAAGAGTCCAATCCGCCAAGCAGCGACTGAGCAAGATCATTCCAGACTATATGGTCCCCACTCTCTTCCTTGCTCTCCGCAAAGTGCCGCAGACGGTCTCGTGCAAAAAGGATAGGCATCAATTACGACAAGAAGTTGTCCTGATGACCTGGGACCAACTGAGGGCATATACTACCAGCCCGAAGGGTGGGAGAAGCGTTACACCTGCTGCGCTTAAGACATGGGCGGTACAGCTACTCGCTCAGATCTGGGCAGAGCTACTTCGCCTGGACGCCGATACACTTGGGCCGGATGATGATTTCCTTGCCCCCGGCGGCGACTCCATTATCGCGATGAGGGCAATTGCAATGGCGCGCGTCAAGGGGTTAGGTCTGACGGTGTCCGACATCTTCGCCAAGTCAAAATTGGCGGACATGGCCAAGAGCGCCACAGTGTTACCCAGCGGTGTTGTAACAGCCTCTCGCCGGCCGGTGAGCTTGGTGGGCGACAACGTCCAGGAAGTCTGCATCTCACGTCTTCAGGAACAGACATGATTGGGGGAATCCTGTTTGCAGACGCCGCTTGTTCTGCCCGCGACTGAGATGCAGAAATTCTTCATTGAGGGTAGGTGCTTCGACCATAGACTCTCATGCCTCCTTATCAACTGCCGGCATGCTGCCAAAAGTCGGGCTCTGTCGATGGTGCTGGGCAAGGGGATTCGGAAGTATCGAAAATACATCGAAAACAACGTCAACCGTTGAAACTCTGTCGTGGGATGAACAGCGGTAAAGCCATCCGCGATATCGCCCTCGAGGTCTCGGCAAAGGCTCCCACCACTGGTAGTACAGCCTAACGATGTTTTCTGCTCCCCTGTGTGTATCACCCGGGTGGTGTCGGCGGTTCTTTCTCTAAATATCGTCACGAGGTGGGAGCAGGTCGGATTGTTGAAGATATTTTCAACAGTCAAGCGTACACCTTCATCCAGGGCCAGGTTCACCAGCTGCTGGGCAGCAAGAGAGTCACCTCCGATCTCGAAAAAGTTGCTGTCTTTCCGAATGAGCTCTGTGTCTACACCGAGGGCTCTGGCCATGATCCGTCGCATCTGCCCGTCCTCTGCCGTCGTGCTGTCGGTCATCGAAGGAAAACAATTAGAAAACTTGTTCACGACGCAAGTGAGGGGAGGATAGATGTGGCAGGGGCCCCTTTAAATCCCGTTCAGGCAATAGCATGCACGTCTCACCGCAGGTTGATAGCAGAACTTGGGAGACGCAAAATAAATTCCTGAATGCAAGAATGTCATCTGCATTTTCTAGGGTTCTGATTTGCGCCTTTTTGAAATGATCGCACCCCATAAGTGTGACCAGATACTTGGCTCCGGTACGAACACAGGCGGTGCTATGCCCGAGGATATTACAATGAAGCGGACAGCTACCCCTTACAGATTTTCTCTGACCGCATGACTGGGTCGATAGTCCGGCAGGGTGAACTGTCAATATCTGTACAATCTTGCACTAGATCTACATCAAACCTAGTGTTACGACTGCGTCTTACAACAGATAAGCTGTCAAGATAATTGTACCCACTCGGTCTCCACCAGTAGTGTCAATGGCAGGCAGGCCCCTTCCTCCTTGCTTAGTGGTTGAAAGTCGTGTTAGGATCTTTACAGGGTAAAGCCGTATAAATTGATAGGTCAGAAGAACCTCTTACGTGGCTCACTAAGTGCCAAGATTGTATACTCATGTCATCCTTCCTACTGTCTGAGAATGAATTGCTGTGTACCATTATAGCACCCCACCGTCATGCTTATCCCAACCAAAGCACTGAATCTGTATGCTCATTCTGTAACGGCAAGGGTGCATAGTCATGTTATATTTATAAAAGCATGTGAAAGCAATTCACCGACTCTAAAATCTTTATTGTAACATAAAGAGGTTCTAGTTGCTACTTCATATCTCTCATTCATTAGGCAAATGAGTTACTAGGTTTTTTGACAAAATGCTTTTTCTGACTTTGGTTACTCTATTATCAGCTGTTAGTGTGTTATGCCACTTGCTACAAATCTATTGGCGCTTGCACACAGTGCCTGGTCCACTATGGGCCAAGGTCACCAATTTTCAGCGTCTATGGTGGGTGCTAACTGGGAGGGCCCATGAGATACACAAAAGTATGCATGAGAAATATGGCCCTGTGGTGCGGATCGGACCCAATGTGGTGTGCGTGTCAGATCCAGAATACATCTCAACTATATACCCAGTTCGAGAAGGGTTCCCAAAGGTGGATACTTTCTCTATCCCTGATTGTCGCTAATGGCTTCATGACTAAGGTGACTTTCACTATAGAGCGACTTCTACCGGGTACAACAGCCGTACACCAGAAAGGACGGTGCCGTTGCAGCAATCTTTAACACCCAAGACGAGGCTCTTCACAAAATGCTGAGGAAGCCGGTAGCCCATTTGTATTCTATGACAAACGTGATCTCTCTCGAATCCACCGTGGATCAAGTACTCGAAATCCTGTTTCAGCAATTGGACGCACGGTTTGCGGAGACTGGACATGTGTGTGATCTGGGAAGTTGGTTACAGTTTTTTGCCTTTGACACGATGGCTACTTTGACATTCTCCAAACGATACGGCTTTCTCGAGGAGGGCAGAGACGTCAATGGTATCCTGAATGCCGTCGGGACGTTTATGAAGAAAGCGGCTCCAGTAAGCACCTTTCAAAACAAGGCTAAAATAAACTAACGTAGCCTTGAAAATGGGCAGATAGGCCAGATACCTTGGGTGGACCGCCTCCTGTATAAGAATCCGGTTGCCACAGTATTCCAACGTACAGCTGGGTCTACGATTCTTGGAATGGTGAACCAGTATATCACAGAGCGGCAGTCACGACGAAACGACACGGGACATCATTTGGACAAACCAGATATGCTGTCATACTTTCTGGAGGTTCAAGCAACCAAACTGAACGTACCACAAGGGTATTAATATTGATCCCTATTGCTGTAAGTCTTTTGTTCTTTCGAAAATCGACTAAAATTCAGCCAGGGCGCCAAAGGCCTGGACCTTCGCCAATGTAAAGGCTGGCTCTGATTCTACTGCGAGCGCCATGCAAACTATGTTTTACTACCTACTCATCCACCCGGACTCAATGAACCGCCTGTTGGTAGAGCTTGAAGAGGTGTATGTATCTGAGGACGTACGATGGCCGATTCCCAAGTGGGAGCAAGTGCAGCGATCGTCCTACTTGGACGCCTGCCTCATGGAGGCCCTCCGCTTACACCCTCCTTTCTCTTTGCCGTTCGAGCGGGTAGTCCCAGCGGGCGGCATAACAATTTGTGGGCAGTATCTACCTTCAGGAACTGTAGTCGGAATGAACCCGTACGTCGTGAATCAGCACCGGTCAACCTTCGGGGAGGATGCGGCCAGATGGAAACCAGAGCGATGGATCGAACTGAAGCCCGAAGAGAGGCGAAAGCTTGAACGCAATGTGTTGACGGTATGTTTTCTCTCTATCTGCAGTAACGAAAGCTACTCCTACTTCCGTCACATTGACCTCATTATGTCCATTTCCTCCAGTTCGGGGCCGGGCGTCGATCTTGCCTGGGAAAAAACATTGCGGTTTTTGAAGTCAAGAAATTGGTTGCAGCTCTACTTCTCCGCTACGAGGTATATCCCCCTGTCCGAGCGAGTCCTTTCGGGATACTGCTGACCGGCCAAAAAAAGATCCAGATAGTTGACCCTCGGCGACGCCAGACAGAGAATGCATGGTTTTTCCGGCAATGGGGCATAGACGTAATGATAAAGCAGCGAGGAGCTACTACACAGAACGTGGCTTGTCTTAAATGATCCCTTCAATTCTTAATCTGCGTCATGCTATGGATGGAGGTCGGAAAGAGGCATGCCAGGAGAGGGGAGAATTTCGAACATACAAGCAGAGTAATTGAAATCACGTTGCTGAAGATCCAACGCAAAACCATAGACCACTAGCCTGGAGTGTGATTGCGTTCACTGTAGCCCCTCCTGGAAGAATCCAGTCACGCACATGGAAGACCTTCCAGGTGCTGTGACGCTTTCAGGTACTGGCGGTATTGTGCTCGTGAGCAGCGTAGGTATCCCATGCCATCGAGTTAGAGTTATTAGTTAGCCGCGATAGTGTCATTTTATACTTATAACCAGTTGATCACGCTTGCTGGTGTATGTTGCATGATACATGTAGGGAGTGCTAGCATCTGTTATTGGAGAAAACCACATATAAATTGATCAAAATTTACCCCCTTGGTGAATGGGCTTGTAATTTTAAGAGACAATCCAGCGGAATTTATGCGGAAATTATTTCATACACAAAACACTTTTACACTTAGACGAGCCCTAGATCCACAACATTGAGACTTGAAAAGCTGTGATATATGACTGACCAAAGCTACCTATTTCAGAGCGGCCTCTATCATGCCGTACCCAGGCTTTGGAAGCATTTGAATCTGCGTGATGACATAGCCTGCTGTACCGAGTAGTTGATCCCACTCTGCACGTGTGCGCTCCTTACCCCCTATGAAAAGCATGTTGAGATCGCTGAGGACATGGTGCGCATCCGGTGACTGCTCAGGGACGACTTTCTCGCAGATGAGTAGTCTGGAATTGCGAGACATGGCAGGTGCCAGATTAGCAAGAATCCGATGACAGTAGGCATCTGGCCAGTCATGAAGGACTAGCTTGAAGAGATACGCAGCGGCACCTGGTCACATCATGAGCACCGTTGTGTTAGTTCCAGCCACTAATCAAGAAACCCAAGCTAGACACATACCTTTAATGGGCTGTATCTCTTCGAGGAAGTTATATGCTTGGAAGTCGACTCTTCCTTGGAACCCATCCGCCCTGATATGAGTTACTGTGCCCTTGATATCCTGCAGAACGAGTCTCCCATGGAGATCCGGGTAATCTGAGCAGATCTCCTGGATGTCGTAACCACTTCCACCACCGACGTCTACTAGAAGTACACCGTCGTGGCCAGGCTGAAGCTTGTCAAACCTATATGCTGTCACAGAAAGCGCAAGGCTCTTCATGGCATTATTGAAAATTTCCAGTCGACGAGGATCTTCCTCGAGTATGTCAAACAGGCTCTTGTCCTGTCCACCCAGTGCAAACGTAATCGGCGAATTCCTTGGATCGGTCGGACTTCGGAAGCCAAACTTTTGAAAATACTCGATACAAGACCAAATTGGGGTCTGGAAATTCTCCCACTGGTGAATCGTATAATCTCTGGCTTTGGGGCTTGCCCATAGACGCGAGAGCTTCGTCTGCCGGTACGTATTTTCGGCCACCTCTTCCAGAACATCACCAGCTGCCAGGCCGCGCACAATCCGTTTGGTAAACTCCAGGTCATACCCTGCATCTATAGCCAGCTCTCGGCACGTGAATGGTTCAAATGTGGGCAGCTTTTCAAACAGCTGCATCTCAATTGCGATCCGGACACAGGCATTCTGCAGGGGCTGGAAATTAAACCGTCGGAACGAAGTCCCCGCATCAACTGCCTCACGAAGCAACATCTTGGACGCTGATATAATGTCCTCTAGAGCGGCAGTGTTGTCGGAGGCTTTTTCGTAGCGTGCTATTGATTCTTTGAGGTTGCTGACAAGGGCAGATACCTCGACGGACGAGTCCTCGGCGCTTGATGGGAATGTCATTTCGACGTGAGTATTTCTTTTCGAATGGTCAGCTAGTAGACACCAAATATTGTCCGGCTATTGATAATGTCAATAGCCACTGGTAGTTGCAATTAATGGGGCTCTGTTATATACCGTTAACACTCTCTTTGATGGCACGGAGCCACTTTATACAGCTTCCCAAAACCCCCAAAGTCCAAAAGGTTACTCTAGGAGGAGGTGATTTTCTGTGCTACAGTACATTCAGCTGCATCTAAACCGCTCATCATTCCTATCCCTCTCCCTCAATGCATTCCTGTGATGAACAAATATCTATACCAACGAGCCACGTTGTTGTACTAAACTGCCAATGGTGGCTTCCATTCAAGGTGGGAAACGATGACAATGTCGGTGTAAAAAATGCCGTTTCACACCTCTACGTAAAGTTGCCTCCGTTTGCCTGTTACATTGCCTGGCACTGGAGAAGAACCATTACTTTTGACTCGGCAATTATGAGGCCCGGCGACATATTAGCTAGCCTCCACCAGATCCTAAATGACAGCTGAACAGCTGTAAGGGTCGTGCAGGCCTATACAATCAAATATACATGTATCCCTCTGCATGCATGATGCATAATCAGTATTTCTCTTGCTATATGGCCTACACCGCAACACCAAGGCTACTGCAACACACTGTGTCTCTCATGCAGTCTGACATAGCTTCCTTGAAAACCTTCTAATAGTTGGGCAGAAAGATGAAATATCAGGCACTCTGCTTTAATTCGCGGTGTTGGGATTTTGGTTACTTTTACCGCACACATTCATTAGAGCTCTGTTAATGCGTAGTTTCATGCAACATAGACAGAATGTAAGATACCTATACAGATATTTATATGCAATACAAGCATGGCGTGACAGGGAAAGACCAACCTCTGCTCTATTTTGTACAGTGCCTGATACCTCTAACTGGCACTTCAATGTGAAGTGAGGGGTTTGGTCAGAATGTAAAGACGTGGCAGATATGTACTGACATCTCCATCACTGTCCGAATGCGTCCCATGGAATAAAAGAGTCTTGCTTCCCTTGCCTGGAAATGCTGACATGCTCATGCATACCCCTAGCGCCGAAGTGGACTTTCCAGGACATTCATTATTTAGAGGTTTTGCACATAGTAAGGCCTAGGCCTGATGCGATTTGCTACTAAGAGCCACCGGACACCATATCAGGTGCTTTTCTTCCAACCCTCCTAGACCGTCTTTTGGACTCATTGAGTTGAGAGCGGGCTTATCGGCATTCGCTCTGTTTAATCGCTGGGAGGATGATCAATGTAATAATATCCATTTGCTCAAAATGATAAGGTGCCTAATAGAGCGGCTCATTCTTATATTATACGTCCGCTGTAGGCCTTGGAACTCCGACTGATGGGATACCGTCTTTAGTCAAAGATGTAGATAGACGCTTTGGTACTAGATAGAGTTACTAATCTGATATTACAGGATGAAATCCTTGGACATAACGGGTCTCTTTTTTATGCGTGTACCTATCTGATACTGATCTATAGACTATCAGACAAGTTTCCCAGCTGAAGCAACCAGGCAATGGAGTGTCAGTGTCAATGTTCCAGCCCTGTGTAGGACTCGTGTAGTGATCGACAAAAATTCATTTAAAAGGGTCAAGCTACAGTCGAGAAGATAATAATCCGATGTCACTGTCAGAACAAGACTTTAGGCTAAGATCAGCTTCCATATTTTTACTTGCGCCGATGTACATTCTCACCCCGGATTCTCCTCCGGGTCCATACACGGCTAAATGACCCTTCAGAATACCATGTACTACGATTTAACCGTCGTCGCCTATATAATCTGTATGGCTTCGTCCTTTCGCACTGTATGTATAGTGCCATCAGAGCTCCATTTCAAGCGTCTGCAGTCTCAGACATCTGGTCACAATGAAAGCTCGCTCAATCACAGCCTTCATCTCTCTCCTAGCATTTACGACATCAGCAGAGGCAGTCTTCGACAATGTCACCGTCTTTGCGCCGCCATCCAGCTGGCCTTCCCACAGCACCTCGTACGGCCGCACCCTTCTACTAGACCACAACAAGCCAGACCCCGTTCTCCTATCGACCTGGTCGTTTTCCCCGCCGGATGGGACATACCTCCCAATATACCGGTCAAAAGACGGCGGTCAAACATGGTCTAATTATTCAAGAGTCCACTTCTCTAACAACGGAGGCTATGTCGGTGGTTCTATCTGGCAACCATTTCTCTATGAACTCCCACGGCAGGTAGGCGAGTACCCTCGCGGGACCATCCTCGCCTCGGGCAACGCTATCCCGCACGATTTCTCATCGACAAACATCGAGGTCTATGCCAGTCTGGACAGAGGGTGAGCCACTTTAAACCATTCGCGAAAAAAGTCTTGCTCATGCTCATGACGTCGAAGGTTCTCCTGGGAGTTCGTCTCCGTCGTCGCGACTGGCGGTCCACCAAACACGACCAACGGCGCAACCCCGGTGTGGGAGCCCTTCATATCCATGTACGAAGACAAGTTGACGGTCTACTACTCCGATCAACGGGATCCTCTCCACGGCCAGAAGCTGGCCCACCAGTCGACGCGAGACCTCATCAACTGGGGCCCCGTCGTCAACGACGCAGCCTATGCGAACTACACCCTGCGTCCCGGCATGACGACGGTTGCGCGGATCGGAAACGGGAAATACCTCCTCTCGTACGAGCTGGCCAACGCCCCCGAAGTCCCGTATGCAGTCCACTACCGTATCGCCGACAACCCGCTCAAGTTCGACGAAGCGACGCCTTACCTTCTCAAGTCTAGAGATGGGACGATCCCGTCCGCATGCCCGTACACCGTCTGGACGCCGGTTGGCGGGCCGCACGGTACCATCGTCATGAGTGACGGCACCTACTCGGAAGTCTTTATCAACCGGGATAACGGCAACCCCCGCAGCTGGATCAAGGTGCCTACCGGTAAGGGCGTGGCGTATTCTAGAGCGTTAACAGTCATGCCGGACCCGAGTGTGATATTGTTCTTCAATGGCGGTATGTTTGGTGAAAACAATACTACCGTTACGGCAGGAGAGTGGATAGTCCCGAGGCGTTCAGATCACTTTTAGGGTGTATGCTCCCTTCTCCATATAGCTCTCTTACGATTACAATAAAAACAAAATGGAGATTGATTGGTTCTTCAAGGAATCTCTATATAGGCTGAAGAAAGCATGCAGATGGTGATAGCATTGCTGTTACTCATGCAGCAGGGGAATTTACCCGTCTGTTGTTAATATCCATGATGTCTCCGGCGGGGTAGCAGGGGTTTAAAACAACTATAAAGAAAATCACATCTTAGGGCTGCTTTAGTCCTTCTTTCTCGGCAATCAGCCCGGGACAACTGCCGTCTCAGGGATGCTGCTTTAATCCATAACTCTACTGCGCCTGCTATAAACGGTTTATGTTGATGGTTCAACGCGTGATCATTGTCTCCCATATCACAAGCTACAACCATTACCACTACAAAATCAGAAACTCCTCATACTTCCCTCCCTTAATCTCAGCAAGCAGCGGAGTAGGGGTTTCTTTCTGATCCTCCGCGATGCCCTCGACGAAGGCGTTTCCAACCATACGATAATGTACCACGTCTTCCTCGGTACTGCGGAAGCCCGAGTCCCGCAAGGCAATAGGATTCATCATTTTGCCAGAAAGAATTAGTAGATCTCCTTCCTGAATGTGCCCAATGCCAATGCCGAACCCGCCCGTTGGACAATCCGTCAGCTGAAAGACCGTCCTTCCTGCGAGGGATGGCAGGTCCCGCAGGAGCTGTTTCACAAGTTTCGATGACTGGGTAGAGTCGGGAACGTCACCAGAAGAACTGGTCAGTTGTTCCAGGACGTTGAGGATATCGTCGATTGCGAACGTCTGTTGCATATGGCCATGGGCAAGAAAGGCCCATACTAAGCGTTCGGTAATGTTCGCCTCATCTACACCATTGCCCCATTCGGAAGCCGGCGCTTTGACTGCATCCAGAATCCTCCGGGCAATTCCCACAGTCTCCTCGGGGAACTTGTAAACGATTCGAGTCCTGCCCACCCTTCTGGCCCAGAACCGTAGCACGTACTTGCCCGGAAGCAAGGACAAGTTCGTCATATAATCTTTCTGCTCCCAGTCCTGAAGAGACTTGTCGATCTCCTTAAATCTAAAACTGGTTCTAGACGTCGAATCCCGATAGTTCGGCACCCATGACGGGCTGGGGCTACCCAGGATATTCCCATGGGGCCCGTCGTAGAAATGAAACATGTTGAACACGAAATCAACCCCCTCGTAGACCAAAATCCAGAGCGTGATTTGCAGTGCCACCTCGTCCGCGGTATATTCGTAATCGACGGGGTACTTCTTCTGGACGCCGTCGACCATGGAGTACAACGCGTAGAAGCGGTCGAGGGGGTTGTAGCATTGCCGCTGGACAGTCAGATCGAGCACATCCGCAAAGGACGACAGACCTTTCCGGCTGGCTGCGATATCATGCGCAAAGTCCTGCATAGGATTTGACTGCGCGAGGCGTTGCCGCGCCTCCTTCAGGCGGGTCTGGAGCTTCCGGTGGTTTTCAATGTCGGCTGCATCGCCCGCGCGCGGAGCCACTTTGCCGAGGTCTTCCATGAGGGGGGTCAGAACCTCCGGAAAGTGTAGGCCCAGATCGACTACCGCCGGGAGGGTAAAGGGGATGTTGCCGACCATGCACACGGGGAGCTTCTCGGGTAGATAGTACTCCTGGAAGGTCCAGATGCGTCCCCAGTATGGCGCCGAAACGATGTCCAGAAAGCCCTGGACAGCGTCTAGAATAGATCCAATTGTGTCGCGCCGGTTCTTCCGGCTCCACGGCCGCGTAATCTGCCGTACGTCCTGGAGAATCCCCGCCAGGTTGCTTTCTCTTCGCTTGATCATCGACATTGCCTGTTCCATATTGGAATTTATTGGTCCGAGCCATGCAACGACAGAGATTGCGTCCTTGTAGATACGGCCCATGAGAGGGAGCTGGGTGTTTTTTTCTTTGACATTGTTTTGATTGATGCAGATAAAGTCAATCCAGATGAGGCGCTTCTTCCGGGAATGTCGAAGGCATTTCAGCGCTGCCTCAAGGTTTGTTGTGACTTGAAATGGGATGTCGTCCACCAAGATTTCCACCTTTTCAACAACATTTCCCCAGACGTATGAGAGAGCCTCGAATTGGGGTGAGTTGTTCAGTGACGCGGTCTGCAAAGTGCATCTCACTGGGTCCTTTTCATTTTTGTTGGGTAGGATTGTGAGAAGGCGAATCTCCGCAGCCTCGGGATTCAGGGGAGAGTATGAAAAGGAGCCCGAAGGGTGATCCATCGGGGCAGACAGGCTTTTCTAATATATGCAGATCCAAGTACGATCCGTTGAGATGTGAAGATGTTCGAGATGGAGATGTAGACATATTTAGTAGTGTTGGCCGTCCGAGCGCTTTGACCACAGTCAGCTTATACTCGGAGGCTGGGATCCCCCCACTTCTGAGAGAAAAGTCAGAGAGAGCACAAGTATTACTCCATTCAAGTATATCGTTGCGAATATATTGCATTACTTTCTGGCTAGCCTAGCATGTAGCCTATACAAGACCTTACTGCTGAATAGACCAAGAGCCATTGCCATTCGCCTCAAGCTGGAGAACTCCATCAAAGGCCCGATCACGTTTGAAGTGCGTTGTATCTTCAGTATTATTTATGTTGTCCCCTGAAAACGTCAGAGATCGAGCTACATACTTGAAGTGCTAGCTCCAGAGCTTGTGGAAGCATTGGGGGCTCATTTTCCCCTTCACCCGTCAGTATTTCTGGATCACGAGAGGCTTTGTTACATTTGAAGGTCGGCCTACCCGTGAGGCCCGAGGCATGCGGATACCTTTCCTGGTATCCACGATTCGCTCAAGGGAGCATATCTCGCTCAAATACCACGAACCACTGGTGTCCTTGCCCCCGCTAATGAGTTTCCGGAACCTCTGCGACCACACGGGGCGACATATCGGGATCACCAGGGTAATGGGCAAATTCTCCCCCGTTGGCGTTGCGAGACGGAAATGCTGAGCAGGCCAATAGAGGACATGAAACTTGTAGATACCCTCACGTAAATAAGCTACCTAAGCTACTTATAAAGGTTCTATTGTCTTAGGATGTGTTCATAGTGGATTTTTTAAATAGAGGCAATGTTTGTCCATGGAATGGGGTATTTAAGTTATCAGCTCGTTAGAGCATGATGAATACGGAAGTGTCTCTGCAGATTTCCTTGAAAAGACAAAATGATTATTGAATGAAGGGGTTGATTGTTACTCATTGTCGAATATATATGATGCTAGATTTGGGCCCTAGTACCAAGTGAAATTCAGGTCCCCCGAATCTCCGTAGAAAATGATAACAATGCAGCCTAAAGGAATGAGAATAAACCAGCAAGTGCTTCATCTCGATCCATCAAACTAAATAACACTGTCTTAAGATTACAGTAGGACTAAACCACCTCGTAATCACCCGTTGCTAGGAGGTTTGGTAATACCACAACTCCTTCAACAAACGACCTGCCATCCGGCTTTTTGATAGTAAAAGTAGAGCTCTGAGATGAACCGCGCAGCGTCACTTCCCCACACCCTGTTTTGAAGTAAAACCTAACAGGGCCAGCTGACGCAGGCCCTGATATCTTCAGACGCACGGACATGGGGAGGCCTGATGGGTAATACCTCTCAAGGGTGTCATTTAACCCGGCGTTCTTGGTGGCTTCTTCGATGAGCGTATTAGCACCACCAACCAACGTGGAAACAATTCGTGAAGAGTTTAGCACGAAATTTGCCACAAAACTGGATCTTGTCTGCTCGTGCAAGGTGCAGCCTTGCCTCGAAGCGGGATCGATGGATATACGAGGGCCGCTAACGTCGAACCAAACCCTGGCATCTACAGGAGAAAATGCTCCGTTGGCCGGGCTCCATCTCTTGACATGCACGGTTAGCGTTGCGTCAATTGTCACCTTATCGAGGGAACTGAAAGCATCCGACAGCTGTTGACCCAGACGCTGATGGGATTCATCCGAGCTGTTTTTGAGCAATGTTCCGAACTCCTCTAGACGGACGTTGACGATTGCGTCCGTGGCGCCCTCCTTACGGCTGTCAACTCAGGCATCGAATTTCGTTCGATCCTGGGGATCACCTGCCAACTTTGCTGCGAGGGTTGCTTCACCTCCTCGGACATAGCACTTGGTGTCGCATGATCTCATATACTTTGACGACGCCTTCCGTGCTCTTAACCTCCCCTTTCGCCTTCACAATGCTTCCATATTCCGCCTCGATATTCGCGGTCATAGACTCTTTAGTGTCGGATGACTCGGATTTTTTCACAATTCTTAACAGATACCGTGTACCAAGGTAGCACTCCTTGATATAGTGAGTGCCCCAGTGACCGAGAAACGACTCGTACTGTTATTTCACGGAAGAGTCATTAGGTTTTCAAGGTGGCAGCCTCCTGACCGCTCGGCGAAAGTCTTCGCTGATAGTGCTTGTTTGATCACCGTCAAGGGAGATGGAATGAGTTTTCTGGTCAAGGCTCCAGAGGCCGTAGATTGAGTCCGATTTGAACGAGCTTGTTTGGCTATAGCTCGCACTGCCACTGACCGAGACACCAGCATAGTTCACACTAAGTTCTGCCTTGGCCTCAAACTCCTTTGACAATGTCGAACCAGATTCGACAACGAGACTTTGCCTCACAGTCCCTGACCTAGGTCAGGATATAGAGGCGTTGGTTGGAAAGATGTAATCCTCTGGGTTCCCAGGAATCTTTTCAGTCCGATCTTCGTAGTTTAAACCAACAATAACATGCTTGTCACTGCGATCAAGGAGAGATCTCACATCAAAGATATCGTCGCCTAGATTATAAAGGTTAGATTGGCCATTAACAACTGATGATATGGGCACGAACCTGGTCTGAAAATGATGCTGCGACCAAGAAAATCACAAGATGCCAACATGGAGCTAGACATAGTGATTGCTGATGCTGATACTGATACTAAAGGTATGTGAGATTGGGAGGAGGACTGTGGTGAAGTATGCTCAACATGTAGCTGAAGGCAAGGAAGCAAGCCACTATATAGCCCGCAGAGCTGAAGCATGTGCAATAAATCACTGTCATAGAGTGATTTAGATTACTCCACAACATCTCCAAGATCAGGATTGAACCTTGAACCTACCCACATAATTGGGTCATGTAATCTGTTATCTACCAAGGTAATATTGGTCATATGCACTATGTGTGATGGTCTATAAGGTTTTGGAAATGTGATATATCAATATGACTTATCAGTTCTATCATTTCAGTGAAAGTTTAGTTCATGACTGAAGACTAAGAAAAGGGATAATGAAAAATAAAATTACGCAAATATATATACCTCTATCTATATAATAATAGAAAAGAGAGAGAGAAAGAGGGCAGTGATACTACTCTATACATAAAGTCCCAGACTATAAAAGTAGGATATGGTGGGGTTGGACAGTATAGTTCACCAAAGTTGCTGGGTTTAGTTCATGATAGAGATGATCAGGGTCCTCAGGGATATAACCCCGCAACCCTTTTCCGATGAGTGGAGGCAACCAATGATTGGTCGACCTGTCCGCATATTTAGGAGTCAAGACCTTAGCTGGTGGCACAGCCGAAGACCGCGTCACAATCCTGCGCGATCTACCTGAACAACCTCGGAGATGCCGCACCTGAAGACTATGAATGTAAGAAATATGCCTTAGAGAACTGCAGTATGCAAGTGCAATCACCTCGGTCCCTAGGCGAGCGAGTAAAGCACAACCACGATGCGCCGGTCTCCATCTGCAGTCTGATACCTGTTTAATGGACATGCCTAAGCCTAACTCTCATTGACCCATTGGCACCAATGCCCTCAGCGTACCTCCAGAGCCCGCTCTTTGTTGCATGACTTCATCCGCAAGTAATTTTCAGTGGTTAGAATTCTGGCGAATCCTCAACGGTGCGGTGAAAGCGTGTGATCTTCTAATTTTTTTAAAAGAGGGCTAGCCTTCCGAATTTTATGCCCGTAGAAATAGAAAACCACAGGGATCGAGATGCACGCGGCTTCCACAATACCAAGAAGCGTACTTGCCCAATTCAGTCCAAGGTTTCCGTACATGGACGGACCTGCAAGCGGAAGACATGCTCCCACGATACTTCGTAATAGCATATTCCCTGCAAGTGCGGACGCAGCGTAGATGCCATAGGAACGGGCGAGATAGTTGGAGGCATAGATGAAGACACATGCATTCCCAGCTCCAAAGGGAACGCCAGCCAGGATTGGAACGATCCAGTGAACGTTGGGAGTACAGGTCCAAGAAAACCATAACTGTCCAACAGCTAGGAGAGTTGCACCAAATCCGACGATGCTGACCATGGCCTCCGGTTCCACCATGCCGTCCTCTGACTTTCGATGAAGATTGATTACTTTGCGGAATATGGGTTCGCACGCAATTGCTATCAGAACCCCGACTCCTATGCCAACGAATGAAAGACCACCGATTCCCGGCGACCATCCGCGCTCCTGCTGGAAGGCGATTGGATACGCAACGAAGCATAGGTAGAGCACGCCATAGACGAGAGCAACGTAAACGTCCCAGAATATACTGTTAGAGAGTTAGTCGAGGATTCTTCACCGGGGGCGGGAAGAGAGTGTCTTACCAAATTGGTTCAGTTAGAAGCATTATAAATGGCCGGCTGAGACTGGTTCGCAGTGATGACACAAAATCCTGTGCACCATCATACCGTGTCCACCACTTTGTGCTTTGCGTCTCTTTCCTTTTTCGTTCTGCGCGTCTTCTCAGGATAACCGGCGCATATGTTTCCTTGATAGAGGCCATCAAAGCCAGGACACCACCTCCGATGATGAGCACAATCCAATTGGTCCATCTCCATCCTAGGTGTTCAAACACAAAGCCCCCAATGATCGGACCGTAAACCGGGCCGTTAGTAGGCCCAATGGACCAGAAGCCGAATGCCAAGGCCCTATGTTCGTCTGATACAATATCATTCACCGAAGCAGGAGAGTTTGACATCAGAGCACTCCCGAAAAAGCCCCCGAAGAACCTGCTCACAAGAATTGTTTCAATGTTGCGCGCCAACGCGCTCGGCAGTAGAAGTAAGAGGAAAACCGTCATTGAGATAATATAGACCGGCCGCCGACCCACGAGCTCGCTTAATGGGGCAAAAAGGACACTCCCTAGCGCCATACCAAGGAGATAGGTGGTGACACCAACAAGCGCCTCCAGTTTAGAGATACCAAACTCTTCCTGGAGCCCCGGGATTCCAGATGTGTACAAGGTGCTAGATAGGCTGACAACTGTGGCTCCAAGGCTCATGGCTGCGACAGTGACACCTTTGTACCAAAGTGGCCACAAACGTGGGTTGTCTATGTCATTTTGTTCCCAATAGACTTCGAATTCTGGGTCATCTTGGATGCTGGGTAACTTGGAAATCACAGGCTCGACGTTCGGGGCGCAGTAGCCCTCTGCCCCTGCAGTGAAGCTCGGCGTTTGGGAAAGAATCATTGTGCTACAAATCAGCGAATTGGCCGAAACTGCACACTCTAGGCAAAGGTGATATGGGTAAGATCGACGCTTGGTCTTTACATGGCGAATTTATATGATGCATGTACATCTGGTAAGCCACCAGCAAGTGGGATGCCGGCGAACCTCTGGCAAGTTGTCGTTGAGTGGGATACCGGTGGCAGTACATTTTCGAATTTGTTTGACCAGCCGCTGGCAAGTGGGATACCGATGAAAACTTCGCCAATCAAGGGAGTTCTACGGGATAATCGAAAACTTACAAAGAAAGCTAACATCATTACGATTGTGTAATGTGAAATATGTTCATATCTCAGTGAGATATTGTCTCTATACTACCAGCTATAGGCGGGATGCCGACTAACGCATTATTCCAGAACATCCGCCATCCAGGGGCCGCCTGCTAAGTGGGATAGGCCGAGCTTTACCTAACTAACAAAGGGCGAGAATGATTAACAAGCTTGTGATGTAATGAGCGAGAATTTTAGCCATTATTTATAAGCCTTATTCCAGCCAAAAGAAAGTATATATACCTGAAGACGTACCTCCATAGTCATAGGCGTCTCATCATATTACATGACTGCCTTATTTTGCTTTTACATTTGATCTTCTTTCATAACAAGCCATCTTCGGTTCTCCCAATATCACCTCTTATTGCAACTATGTCACCTCCAAGTCTTACAGTCACCCATATCACCACGGCAACTGCGATCCTAAGCATCGGTGGCATTAACTTTCTTACGGATCCTTATTTCGGGTCCATCGAGGGAACCGAATATGATACCACGCCAGCTTGGGAGAAGATGGATATAAAAGCATTTGGCCTGGACCACATTCCACCACCGCCGCACTTGATCAACAAACAAGGTCCTGCCCTCCAGCTTCATGATCTGCCACCAATTGATGCGGTTCTTTTAAGCCATGAAGATCACCTTGACAATCTGGATCCGGAAGGCCGCAAATTGCTTGATGGCCGGAGGGTTTTCACTACTATGGATGGTGCATCTAATCTACGCCCTCGCCCTGGAGTGGTTGGTCTTCGCCCCTGGCAAACCGTGACTGCGACTATCGGAGGAAAGCTCTTTCGAATTACTGGGACTCCCTGTAAACACTTTCCCGGTGGAGAGGTCACTGGTTTTATTCTCGAGACTGATTCCTTCGGCACTGATGCTACGGGAAAACCCAATGCAATTTACTTTTCTGGAGACACGGTGTATATCGATGAGCTACGGGAGATCGGAAAGAGGTGGCATATCACTGCTGCCCTTCTTAATCTGGGCAACGCTACGTTCCATTTCCCAACAGGGCCTATCCAGATTACAATGGACGGAAAACAGGCTGTCCAGCTTGCCCGCGATATTGGCGCAGACGTCATGATCCCTATTCATTTTGAATCCTGGGCCCATTTCACTGAGGACCGAGAAGGTTTGGTGAAGGTCTTCAATGAAGAGAGAATCATGGAAAAGGTTGTGTGGACAACTCCTGGTGTTCCCAAGGTCGTTTATTAATGCTGTGTGCCTGGGCAAAAAGTGTCTCTTGTATTATTCATTTGTCTCTTGGGCCGTCAAGCTTTTTACATAAAGTTTCTGTCATGTCGAAACGCCTTGGCCACTTCGTTTGTACTGAATATAAACAAATAGTCCTACTATACCGTAATTCTGGGCCATTCCGTTCTTATTGCCTTTCCATATCCTACAAATAGATAAAGCCCAATACGAGTAGCTATAAGCGGTTGACCCATCGATGCTCACCTTGCATTGTTATCCGCTTGAAGCGACGTCGATCGATGTGATTGCTCCTAGCAATGATTATACGTGCCAGATATGATGGCAATTGAGCTATTGCAGACATGAAAAGCTTAGAGTGCTTCCGGGCTGCGAAGACCGCGATTCGATATGGAGGTCGTGCCATGAAGCCAGAGAATCCCCCTCCGAGCAGTCCGTTCTCCAACAGACGCTTAACTATCAGCTAATTGAGACCGCCTTCGACAAATCTATCACCGGCATCCCACATGGCGGGTTTGACGTAAGTGACTAACGGGGATTGCCACTCCACGGTAAATCATCCAACGAAGGCCGATTAGTTGACTACATAACTAAGTGCCGGGTTGATGATTAATGACCAGGGGTTCTAGGACGGCATCCCGCCTAAGGGAAAGCGACAAAATATGGGCGTCTTGCCTGTTACCAAAGGCTTGGCCGGCCTTATAAATAGGTTAACATGTCCGCCCACGGTACTATTTATCACAAACCACTGACTCTTCTATATTTGCGTTAGTTCCTTTGCTTCTTTAGTTCTATGATGCTGTAAGTTTCTCCTATCTCTCTATTCCCTACTTTACCTGACACGCATTCAGGGAATCAAGCAAGTCTAGCGAGGTGGCTTACTTCAATCTCGGCACTCACCATCGGTCAGTGACCACTGGTTCAAAGGAAGCTCAGCTGTGGTTCAACCGCGGGCTGATATGGTCATATTCCTTCAACCATGGTGAGGCGGAGCGATGCTTTGAAAGAGCTGCGGAATGTGATCCCAGTTGCGCAATGGCACTGTGGGGTATTGCGTATGCGGCTGGGCCAAATTACAATAAGGCGTGGAGATACTTTGCCCCAGAGGATCTTCGGTCGTCTGTCAAAAGAGCGAATGACGCCTTAGCCCGTGCTGCCAAGCTGTCGGACCAGGCGAGCCCTGTTGAACGAGCGTTGATTGAGGCAATCACCGCTCGCTTCCCGCCTACGGACAAAATCCCTGACGATCTGAGTTATTTGGATCGCGCATATGCGGATGCAATGCGCCCTGTATACGAGAAATTCGGCGATGACCCAGATGTCGCCGCATTATTTGCCGACGCGCTCATGTGCATCACCCCTCGGGGACTCTGGGATTTAGATACTGGGAAACCTACTGGTGATCACACAGTCGAGGCTCGAAGGGCGATTGAGTTGGCGCTAAAGCGTCCTGACGGTTATAATCACCCTGCTCTATGCCACCTCCATATCCACATGTTGGAGATGTCACCATTCCCGGAGTTAGCACTCCCTGCCGCCGATCGATTACGTGGCCTGGTTCCAGACGGTTCTCATATGCTGCACATGCCAACACACATTGATGTCGCAGTTGGCGACTATCGCCGCTCAGTCGACTCTAACCACGAAGCGATTGTCGCGGACGACAAATATTTCGCTCGGGAGGATGCTTCAATCCAGTACACAGCGTATAGGGTGCACTATATCTGCGCAAAACTGTATGCTGCCATGATGTCCGGCCGCTTTACAGACGCCATGTCCGCTGCGGAGAAGCTCGAGCAAGTTATTGATGCCAAACTGCTGTCACCGTCCCGCCCATGGCGGACTTCGTAGAGAGTTTCTTGGGGAGTAAAGCGCATGTGCTCGTGCGCTTTGGGCGCTGGGAGGAGATCCTTCGTCTTCAGCTACCTAGCGACCGCAGCGTTCATTGCGTCACGACAGCGAGCATTCTCTATGCGCGCGGACTTGCCCTTAGTGCGCTGGGCCATATCCCAGAAGCTGAGGCTGTTCAGAAAGAGTTTGAAGCAGCACGCGCAGCCGTGCCAACCTCTCGCCTCAACAGCATACCGTGCAAGGAGGTTGACGTCCTTGGAGTTGCCTCAGCTATGCTCGCTGGAGAGCTAGAATATCGCAAGGGAAATTATGATACTGCCTTTTCCACTCTCCGGCGAGCTATCGAGCTTGAGGACGCACTTCCATATTCCGATCCGCCGCCATGGATGCAGCCTGTTCGCCATGCACTCGGCGGCTTGCTTCTCGAGCAAAACCGAGTCGGCGAAGCAGAAGTGGTGTTCAGGGAGGACCTTGGCATGGCTAGGGACTTTCCTCGGCGCAGAGCAAAACTTAATAACGTGTGGGGACTGCACGGACTGTATGAATGTTTTACTCGCTCGGGCAAGATCGAAGAGGCTCTTTTTATCCAAGCATCTCGTGATATTGCACTAGCCTCTGCCGATGTCCCCGTTACGACTTCGTGCTACTGTCGCAGATCTGCAGTGGAAGAGACCAGATGTTGTTCATAAATGCGTCAGGACGCACAGCACGTCAACTGTTCATGTCGAGAGTTAGACGCTACCTTACTCTTATATTGATATAAATGAAAGCACTTTGAGGACCTTGAACCTCTATAGGAACGCTTATAACAATGCTTTTTGGCCAAGATATCTCTGTTGGTTCGATTTAGATAGAATTGCAATACTTTCATCGATCACTACTTTTAAATAGTTTATTGGAAAATATTATTACGTCGCCTATTGTCCAAAACCTAAAAAGTCATGATGATGCGAAAATTGTCGTTTGTCATCTTCGTATATCTAACGGGACCCACCGAGTGGGATACCGGGCAGACCTGGTGGGGGTCTCAGGAGCACCTTAACCAACATAAACTGTCGCAGTTCATCTGCCAGTTTGTGCATCCCAAACGTCTTTTTTGGCTCAGATTGAGCGAGTCTTGCAGAGGCATCTAGTCCGATATCATTCTCCTATCCGATATCATGTCGCCGCAGCCGCTTTCTGACCCAGAACTTCCGCCGTTCCAATGTGACTACCCTGGTTGTGCGGCGAAATATCGACGCAAGGAGCATTTAAATCGACATGTGGCGGGTCATTCCCGAGGAGATTGCTTTTCTTGCCCGTATTGTGAGAGCACCTTGACCAGGAGGGACGTTATACCTTACATGCTTTGAAAACCCATAGATATGCATACTAACTAACGACCAGTGACCTCTTGCGCCGGCACATTCGGACCTATCACCCGGATAGAGCGCCTCCTGCGTCTCGGGCCCAGAAGGCTTGCGCTGCGTGTCACGCCCGGAAAGGACGCTGTTATGGTGGATTTCCATGCAGTCCATGTCGGAAACGGGGCATCGCCTGTTCTCCTGGGAAGAGAGAGTCTCGAGAAGAACACGTTGTCGACAACAACGTTCAGATCTCACAACGACCCCATACGCCTCGGTGGATCGCTCATGACTACATCGATATTTACTTTGATAAATTCCATCCGAAATGGCCGTTTCTTCACCGAGGGACATTTGACGTGACCAAAGAACCTTGTGTACTCATTCAGTCCGTTGTCATGATAGGACTGTGGGTAGAGGGAAGCAAGAAATCGCGGGACGCAGCTACAGATCTTCACCGTAGCCTGTCTACTGCGATTCGTACTCAGATGGTGAGACATGCAAGGATCCAGCGAATCCGCCCTTTTAATAACATTTTTTTCGTCCATATCAGGATAGGTGGCGCGTATCCAATCAAAATCAGAGTACCTCATGGCCCATGGCAACGTATCAGAGCGTGCTCCTGCAATGTATTTTTGCGTTATTTCTCGCAGGGGACAGGGCAGCCATTGATCTGAACTTGCGATACCGGATTCAGGATGACGAGTACGACCTTCTGGTGACTCTGGTCGAAAGCTGTCGGCTAGGTGGTATTTTCTCGTATCCAAACATGCTTGCACAACACAGCTCGGCAGTCCCGCTGACGCTGGTGTGGCTGAATATCGAGGAGATAAAGCGGTTCGGATTAGCCCTCTATAAGGTGTGCCGAATGTCTACTCGCCTAGAAACAACTGGCGCAGATGCCAGCAGTGCCGAAAGTGAGCTTTTGACCCTGGCCGATTTGTCCTTTGGTATGCCGGATAGCGATGAAGCGTGGAATAGTACATCGGGAGAAGGCTCTGAGGCGCGTCAACAAGAGGTAGCGTTTCAGACAAAACTGAGGGACAGTCGGGACCCGACAGGGTGGATTTCGCAGTCGTCGAGTGTGCTGTCCAATGCGCGCGTTGCCTTTGACTGGATATAATCGGCCACAGTACTTTCGGCAAATTGAAGACGTACGGATGGCGGAGTATACGAATTGCTGTTATTCCGACGGGTCGGACCAGGGCAGCATATAGCATAGGAGGTTAACTGATTACATAAAACGAAACATCGGGATGAATACGTTCCAGAACAGCTGTCTCAAGTCCAATCTGATAATGAGACAGGCATATATCAATCCAGAACTCTACTGCGTTTTTATTGGGCGCTGCACAGCTAATTATGGCTGCGGACTTCCAGAGCCACCGGAGCTAATCAGATGCGCTCTATTGTCGTCAGATTGAAATGCTCACACTAATGACGGCACGCGTACTCGAGAAGAGGAATGACTTGAACATCCCGTTTCTGCCCGGTGCTTTTGGGTGCTTGAGCATCAGTACCACATGTACGCAGTGCAGCTCTCTGCAATTAACGCGTGTGCACAACCCGCCTGGAATTCATAGTGCGAGTATGGGCCGCTTTGAATTGCGACGGACGTCAAAAGCTTCTTCACAGAGAAATGGGAGAAGGACATGCAGTCATCCTCATTGCCAGTGCTGGCTAACAAGGCAGAACAGACAGAGAAGAACATCGGTCCCTGTAGCCTTTCTGCCCCATCAATTGCTGGAGAGTTTTACGTATTGATGATGCAGGCCTTGAAAGAACTGGCTCCACTTAGATTTGCAGTAAGAGATCTACTAGCAACAGAGCGCCTTAAGAAACAGATAGTCCCCTGGATTTGGCACGCCGAATTGTAGATTCCAACGACATCCTCCCGGCAGACTTTCCAGGACTCGTAATACTGCGGCAGATTCTGACATGCCTGACTCCTCATCTGCTCCTTTCGCAATCAGCTCCTATACACTAACTACTACTACAGGAGTTTTACAGAAACCTGTACGAAGGAACTCGGCTAGGATGCTGCAGCCATCTACCCTGTAGATATGCTTTCATTGGACTTAGTAGTAACCCATCACTCTAGACCGGGTTATGCTGGCCTAGTAGCCTGGATCACATACTTGTTTGAAGAAGCCTCCACAATCCAACGACTGTCTGCACTATCCAAAGACTCATTCATCGCCTTCCTGATCAGCTCTGTTCCAACCTTCCTGTCTGCCACCACATTTACATGCGAGTACGTATGACGATTTGGCTTCTCGCCAATTTGGGCTTGGACATTGACAAATGGCACCTCTTTGCCGCCGATATCGACGTTGATGACCCCCTATAGTACCATTTCATCAGTTGCTTCCATCCTTCGAAAGCAATAACGACTCACCTGACGATCAATGGTTGCTGTCTTTAGCGTTTTCTCATCCAGAGCTTTGAGCTGTGGATTCTTTGCGATGTCACTTTTGCTTATGCTGACGAACTGCGGGGGGCCGCCTTTGGAGCCTAGCGTGTGCTCCTGGAAACCACCTTTGGGGTCATTGATCATCCAGTGAACCACAGTATACTGGTCCTTGGTTGCACGTGTAACGTTTGGATTATTAGCGGCCATAGTTTGCTCGAAGGAAGTGGTAGACTAAGAGAGGTTATCTTGTGAGAAGAGTTCTCTTGCTGCGGAGGAGGCAGGTTTTTATATGCCAGACATGCTCAATGAAATAAGCCCGCCCAATCCTGTAGAATGATTGAAATCCATTTGTATCAATGGGCTAATGTGATGACGTCCAGCTTCATGCAGTCGTCCTTAATAGGCATCAAGTTTGCATGCATGTTGGAATGCGCGCCATAGCTAGCATGTACGCGATGTCGATATGATGAATACTGCAGTCATCTGGACTCCTACAGTTATGTGAGCCACCACTGAGAGACAATTTTATTCAAGCCGTCCGTCTCATTGACTTGTGCTGTATGCTTGGCTACATTTACCTGATGCGAGCATGGTGTCACTCTTTGACCTGTCAGGAAAGAAGCCAGAATTAATCATACAGCTGTAAGTATATACACATGTGCATAGTGATATAGAGGTCCCTCTCACTAAACAACTATTAGCATCCATGATATCATGATAATGAAGATATTTTATAAGGGCTGTGCAACGATATCTACGCCTCTCGTGTTAGATCCAATCGATAGGCAGGGCCAATCTTTCCAGTCAATAAAGAGGTTTTGGGAGATAACTCTTGGAAGATATCACTCTAACTACCATAATAATATAGTTCATTCTCACAAGAACTGGACAGAATGAGAAGGTCTGATACTATTCAAGAAGAATCCTGTCGCATTCATACCCTTCGCTGAGCCGGCTTCAGCAACCAACCCTACACAGGAAACAGCCAATTCCTGTATATCCCAAATTAGGACTGAACAGAAAAAGGAAAGTCATTAATTAGTTTAGCTGTATTAAGATACTCAGGCATTTACAATTACAAGGTGGCTGCTATTGCACGAAACAAAAAGCTCAGCTATAAACCCATTGCGCAAGAAGATTTCCATCCCGTCTAACAATGTGGGGTTAGTGGCGGAATACGGCTCGGCCCTTCCCTTTGTTTGGGAGGGGATGTGCGAACCACATTATACACTATCATTGCTACTATGCTATGCTAGAAACGGAGGTCTAGACGCCTTTTTCGATTTGTGGTTAGATGGTCTATGGCTAGATCAAAAGTACGAGCGATTTAATAATCTTACGTAGTTCTAGGGATCTTGGAGTACTTGCAAGGCCAGGATGAGAGTTTGCTCCTCGAATGGGTGGCGTATCCATTGACTTGTGGTGCCAACGAAGTGAGGTATCAACAGAGAGCAGATCCCATTTGATCGTAAGACTCCCCTGCAAAGACATTGCTGAGAATCTTCCCAGTGTTATGTGTACTGCAGCAACACCTAGTGGCCAAATGCATGTGTTTACCATGATTAAAGCATGAAGTACTTGGTTAGATGCCCACAGAACCTAAGGCAGCAAAAACAGCCTTAGCCAATTAACATAAAACGGCAACAAAGAAGAAAAGATAATGGGAAACCAGACATTTAAGTTTCTTTCATAACCAGCTAAAGCAGGTTTCACTCTAGTGGCTAACAAGCCTAATAGCCGCCAATGAATATGCCTGAATGAGCATTTCCATGAACATAGCACGTTATGTAATGCAATAGCAGACAGAAGTTAGGATGTGGTACAGTTTGGGTTGATTATCATGGTCCTGATCAAAATACCAGTTTCATGCATAATAATAGCGCATCATCATTATGATGTAGTACATACTAGCTGGACTGTTTCAGTCGGCCTCGCTGCTCTGTTAATGGCTGATGATAATAGCATATTGCAAAGTTGCCACATAAGAATTGAAATTTATAGAATATAAGCGCAGACATTATCCTCTGTTATGTAGGAATCATGAACTCCAATTTCAAGCAGACGGGACTCAGATAACAATATCGCCTGCTCAGGCCTGTATATAAGTTCTAGCCAAACAGATAGTCCAGCCATCTCAAAGCGTCTATTATGAGAACAGCTACTTGCATATTCCTGTACCAATCAATTTGGACAAAGAAAATGGGAGACGAGTCAATCAAGCTAGGATCACGATGACAAACCATACTTGGTCGCGGTATCGAGCTTCGGGAAAGTTCGTTTTCTATTTCACCCTTTTCTTTGCCACAATCAACTTTGATCTTGGTTTGTTTTATTTTAGAGAGGAATATGGTAGTAAGCAAAGGATATCTACCCAGAATCACTTAAGGAGAGTAATAACTCTACAGAAGCTGTTATTATCAACTGAATATCTGAACATGGCTTAACTGCCATCCCTGCTCATTACAAGCACTGTTGATCCCTACCTCAGTATGTGAGAAGATGTTAGGTTAGATTTGCACTTTTGCCAAAAAACTCATTAACGGGTGTCCAAATAAAGTGGCCAGATTGCAGGCTGCTTGATTGCACGCCTCTGGTGCATGAGAACGACTACCCGGCTTGGATTACTGAGAGTCGTGGAGCTTCCTTGGGCTCTAAACTCATTTGAACCAGATATGCCACTCACAGTGCCTGTCCAGTCACCTCGGGGGACACCATAGCAGCGGTCACCATGACTGTTTCGGCAAATGAACAGTCGGACCAAGTTTTATCAGCGGCTCCTGTACTGCCGGTATCAACTATTTCAAGTTGTCGTTCACCTGTTCGGAGTTTGTCTACTACGTGGTGACGCTTCCTCAATCCATGCTCAAGAAGGTAGTCTTTCCAAGAATTAGGTCTCTTTTATATTGGCGAACAAAGAACTTCGTAGCACGTAGACACAGAAACTGAAGCTTGGAGGATCCTCATATACCAAATTAGGGATCCCGCTGGGCACACATATAGCTGTCGTTTTCTCAAATATAAGTTTCGGCGCTGATACAGGCCCCCATATGACCTTTTATGTGGCGGAATGAGTAGGTATCTAGCAGTTACGCGCCGGCAAATTGGGCCAAATTACCCTCGTCCATCAGTCTGTACAGAGAGCGCGTAAATTCCCCTAAAGCCGATCAGACCATCGCTATACCTATTGATAAAATCGAACAAATGTCTCAGTTGTGGTGCAATGCTAGCTGAGAGTTACAATAGTATCCGTGGAGAAGTCTATCCAAACAATAGCCTCCGGTATCACAAACGACAGCTCTGTGATCGAAACCATCCTTTATATATTGCTATTTATTGACGATCCACAAGCCGATTGACTCTCTTGGAAGTGGAAATTCAACGCTCGCAAGTTGGTCAATGAACAAGGACAAAATTATGGTTTCTTTAGCTTATCCTGCTCAAGGCAGAATCTAATCCAGATAATCCGACACCAAAATCGGTAAGGGTATGCTGATAGACAGATCATGACCATAACGTAGCCCATCAATGTCCGCTCTCTGCGCTAACTGCCGCTTTGGAAGACTTGAAGTGTCGTGGTGCGGTTCCCATCTCATATGCCCTATCAATGTCTTCAACACTGAGGCCTGCCGTCTCGGGAACGAGGAACCAAGAGATAACAGTGACGACCACCGTCAACCCGGCATACACAAAGCCCGTCTTCGCGCCTAGATTGCCAGAATCGACGTTATACATGTATGGGGTGATAAAATTAAACAGCCAACCGCCGATGGCGCCAACAATGAAGGCAACAGACTGCGAGTATTGGCGAAGTCGGTGGGACGAGATCTCAGGGCAGATGGTCCAGGCTACACCAACCGTGGCATATACACCGTACGAGATGAGGACGTTCCTGTAGGGAGAAAGACGTCATTTACACACAATTTCTGCGTGGTAGTTTGAAGGCGGGAGACCTACATGATTACCGCAATTGCCAACTGGCTCGCCTTCTTGGTGCTGAATCCCAGGGCACCGATAGTAATCATGCAGAGAAAGTTGCCGATTAAGCCCCAGAGCCACAGTCTCCGACGACCGATCCTTTCGTTGGAGAGCCAGCCGAGCATCACAAAGAGACAGCCGAGGAAAAAGCCGCCGATACCGATGTCGAAAACGCTGGTAACGTTGAGGCCAACAGTGATGAGAAAATAGATATTCTGCGTAAGGAACGGCACGCCAATGGCGCTTGTGCTAAACATGATGAACCCAATGGTTATAGTCCGCTTGAGATTGAAGCCCTTGAAGAGCTCGGACCAGGACGCGGATTCGGACTGCTGCTTCCTCTCCTCGTCGAGCGCATGGACGATTGTCCGGTAGCGTATGTGGAGGTATTGGTCGGCACTGCCGTGTAAGCGCCTGAGTGCGCTTCGGGCCTTATCATGCTTTCCGTGTGCCACGTAGAAGACGGGAGACCTGGGGAGTGGGTTCTTAGTTGCGGCTCATCCAAACATGATGAGGCAGGAGGGAAACGAACTCGGGCACGAGGAAAGCAGCAATCAAGACTAAGCCGGCGAAAGCCCATTGGATGCCAAAAACAATCTTCCAAGCAAGCGGTCTCATGTCGAGAATGAAGGCGCGCACGATCCCCAAACTCACGCCCTGCATGGCCACGCCGAAGAAGACGATAGCCTGCAGGAGCGCACCACGGAGTTTGATGGGGGCAATCTGCCAGCAGAACCATTTGTTAGCATTCCTCCAGATAGAACTCGCCAGAAAGGGTAGATGTCGTACATCGGCGGCGTACGTGGTTCCAATCGCCATCAATCCTCCCACAACGGCTCCGTTCATCGTCTTGCCGACCAATAACATGTCCCTGGTAGAGGAGAAGACGAGAATGAAGGTGCCCACGATAGAAAGGATGGCGAGTGACACTGCAGTCCAGCGACGACCGATGCGCTCGGCGAGGAAACCGGCTATCAGGGAGCCCAATGCCTGGCCGAGGTTGGTCATGGATGTCCAGAGAGATGTCCAGATGGATGGCAGATACATAGACCCTGTGGCATGATTCATGGCGCCAAAGGACATGATAAACGCCGGCATGGCAATACTGGAGCCATTAGAGACAGTGTCATAGCCGTAGTTGCTCGCACAAACAAAGGGCAGGATAGCTAGGTGTTTGACTCGGTAAGCAGCTACAGTGCAGTAGGACAGACAGCAGCCAACGCTGAAGGGGCCTCACCAAAGAGCAACAGGCGTCTATGCGCCTTGACGGCCTGCCAGGTCGTCATCTCCTTTTCTGCGTGCAGGAATTCCTCAATCGCCTCCGAATTGAATTTGGCATCATAGTGGCTGGATTCGACATGTTCGATGGCTTCGACCTTGTCCTCGGGCATGTTGGCGATGCTATTGCAGAAAAATACAAGCGACCACCGAGTTAATTGCAAAATTTGGCGCGATAGGGTAGACCGATCACTATCAGGAAACCCGCAGTGTAATCATGGCATGATATAGGCCTGGGAACCTGATGCAATTCCCCAGATTTCCACATGCCGATCCCCGCATGTCGAGCCCAGCAGAAAATGTTGATCTGTGGCGCTGTGGACGGTTCCGGGGAAGTGGACGGCAAACTCTGCTCGTCTGGCGAAGGTCCACTGGGAGAGAGCTTCCTACCGGACTTGGGGAGACGTGGGGAGACATCGGTACATCTTTGAACCGACATATAATGGTCAAGGACACGATCTCTATTGGATCGCTGAAGAAATCAGTTGACAATAGCTGTCAGTGAGTGGCCGTGCTACGGAACTCGCGCGTCAACGGCTTTCCACAACATGAGAAAGAGACACGAAGACGAACAGGATTGCCAGGCAGTCTGATTATACGGTAATAACAGACCAGGACCATACTGCTCGCGGCTTTAATTTAATTACCTCCCATTGTAGGAGAAATAATGTCCCTAGAGAATACCGAACCCTATGTAGCAAGGTCATCTCTCGTATGTTATGCCTTGCCGTATGCAGCAGGCTCTATACTAAATTTTTAAATCTCAACGGCGAGAGTTCATGGGTAAACGTCGACTCGTGAATATGTCTATGAGCCACGAATTTGCCTTCGATCAGTCTCGGCAGCTGGAGGAGCTAGGCAAAGGTCTCGGAATTGCCGATATAAGTGGACGGTGGACTAAAGTGGACGCGGATATCTGTTTGTCAGCCCCGTGCCGTTGTGGATATTCCGACGACTTTGGAGTGACGTGCAAGACGGGGAAATGAAATGGTTCTGATAAATCCAATACAGGCAACTGTAAAAGGTACCTGCATCCTCTGTGCCAAATACTGAGTTACTTGCAAAAATGGTGCGCATTGCACGGGTATGGGCCGAGCACCACGAGCCAGACACCATCGGTATTGGAGAAGCCCGGCCACGCATTTCCTGGAGCTTCGCCGGCGACGAGGAAACTTGGGAACAGACCAGCTACGAGGTTGAGATCAAACACAACGATGGGAAATTATCGTCAGTCACTATCGAATCATCCCAATCTCGACTCGTACCGTGGCCGTTCGAACCGTTGTCTTCGCGAGAGCGGGTCGAAGTCCGAGTGCGAGTTGGCGGTACTGCCAACTCATGCAGTGACTTTTCTTCACCGCTGGTGATCGAGACAGGCTTGTTGCGCTCAGATGACTGGAGCGGATGCCAGTTGATTGAGCCGAGCCAGTCTACCGAGACTGTGCAGGGGAAGCATCGGCCGGTCATATTTCGGCGTCTGCTAGTGCTGCCCGAGGGCGCTGCCGTCAAGCGTGCACGCTTGTATATCACGGCGCATGGCATCTACGAGGTGCACATCAATGGGTTTCGGATAGGGGACCAGCTTCTTGCGCCAGGATGGACCTCTTACCAGGAACGCTTGACCTACCAGACGTATGAGATTGGACCCCAGTTGCTCGCTGGGCAGCAGAACCAGGTTGATGTGGATGTAGCTGAGGGATGGTTCTGCGGATCCCTAGCCTTTCTTCGCAAGCACAACCTCTACGGTTCGCGGATGGGGCTGATTGCTCTCATGCTTGTGGAATTTGATGATGGCACGATTGTGCGGACGGGGACGGATGAGGAGTGGGTGTGGGCTCACGGGCCGATGGTTGAAGCTGGCCTACTCGACGGCGTGACGTATGATGCTCGTGAAGGACACTCGGCGCGCACAGTATGGAGGACGGTTCAAACAGGCTGCGACTACTGCATCACACGCCTCACTGCGCCCGACGGTCCGCCAATACGGCAGACACAGGAGCTGGCGGTGCGCGAGATCATCACGTCCCCATCTGGGAAAACAATTCTGGATTTCGGCCAGAATTTCGTCGGCTGGGTAAGGCTGAGATCGGTATCGGGACCTGCAGGGGCGACTATACGTTTCCGGCATGCCGAAGTACTGGAGGACGGCGAGATTGGGGTTCGTCCCCTGCGATCTGCCAAATGCCTCGATACGCTGATTCTCGACGGCGCAGCTCCAATCTCCTGGGAACCCAAGTTCACTTTTCATGGGTTCCGATATGTGGAGGTGGACGGATGGCCCGCAGAGTGTCCTCTTACAGTCGAGGATATTGTCGGGGTAGTGATCAATTCAGACATGCGACGCACCGGATATTTCCGCTGCTCGAATCCCTTGCTCAACCGGCTACATGAAAACATTGTGTGGAGCATGCGAGGCAATTTTGTCGGCATCCCAACGGACTGTCCCCAGCGCGACGAGCGACTTGGCTGGACTGGTGATATCAACATGTTTGCCGACACCGCTTCCTTCCTGTTCGACGTCAGTGGCATGCTATCCTCATGGATGAAGGATATGATGGTGGAGCAAAATGCTGCGAACGGCGTCGTACCGCTAGTCATCCCGTATATTCTGGGAGATTTTGGCCCTGGAAAATCTGCAGAGGCAGTCTGGGGTGACGTGGCCGCCATGCTGCCGTGGGCTCTATATGTAGCATCGGGAGATATCGAGCTGCTGCAGCGGCATTACCAAAGCATGAAGGATTGGCTAAATGCTATCCCTCGCTCGACTTCCGGTCTGTGGAAGCAGGCTGGCCACAAACTGGCCGATTGGCTAGACCCCAGTGCCCCTGCCGACGACCCCTCCAACGCCATGACAGATATGTACCTCGTTTGCGATGCCTTCCTGGTACATGTTACGACGCTGATGGCACGCGTCGCAGCCACATTGAACGCCCCTCCGGAAGAGCAAGCATTCTACAAGAAGCAGACTGCCGACCTGCGCGATGCGTTCGCCCACGAATATATCACTCCTTCCGGCCGCCTTGCATGCGACACGCAGACGGCTTACGCACTCGCCATCCAATTCAACCTCCTCTCCACACCCGAACAGCAGACCCACGCAGCTGAGCGGCTCTCCTTACTCATCCGTCAGCGAAGTCGCTTCAAGATCTCCACCGGCTTCGCGGGGACACCATACCTGGGCCACGCGCTAACCAAGGTCGGCAAGGCCAACGTCTTCTACCGCATGCTGCTGCACCGTGAATGCCCCAGCTGGCTCTATCCCGTTACCATGGGCGCTACGACCGTCTGGGAACGCTGGGACAGCATGCTGCCCGACGGCCGCATCAACTCGGGCGACATGACTAGTTTCAACCACTACGCCTTGGGCGCTGTGGCTAGCTGGATGCATCAGACTATCGCGGGGCTTGCACCCATGGAGCCGGGGTGGCGTGTTTTTAAGGTTGAGCCTGTCCCGGGAGGAAACCTACAGTGGGCGGAGGCAGAGTACCGGAGCGTGTACGGAGACTGCCGTGTTAGATGGGAGATTAAGAGAGAGGGCAAGCAACAACGTTTATGGCTGGAGGTGGTCGTGCCGCCTAATACAAAGTGTCAGGTTTGTCTACCAGGCTCATCGGACTTGATTGTTGTTGGTTCCGGGCGGAGAACATGGGAAGTCGACTATCATCCCCAGGAATGGCCCGTAAGAGCATTGCAGCCCCCCTTCAGACCTCCGGACGACATACTGCCAGACAATGAAGTTGTGCCGCATGAATGGTAATTGATGGGTCCCAACTCTCTGTGATGAATCACATCTGTTCATTCATTTGTGGAAATAGACGAGATACTCGAGGTATATGATGTATAATATGCGCTTCCTCGAGTACTATACTGTCCTACTACCCCATTCAATGGTGCATTGTGAGGATCTGTGGGATAATGGGACGGTTGAACATAAGGCTAAGGGCTATTTCCTCATAGAAACAAGCCAAAAAGCTAATCAAAGGATGAATCGCCAAATATTTGGTGTCCTTGACGAGGTAAAGATAATTGTACACAGCGGTAATTGTTGTACCCGTGGTTAACTGAATGTGGCGTCCCTATCGCCTGTACCAGTATCTTGGTCGGCACTTCCTTCACTGCGACTGTCGAGAAATGGCTCTAAGATGGTGTACTATAAATTACCAGTACACTAAAACTAGCACCCTCACTGGCACTGTGACCGTGACCCTCTTGAAGAATAAATAAAGTGCTACAGAGTAATGCATTGACGCTCCAAATGAGAGGCTATGTATTCACTGGCACATCTGGCAGTACATCGTTTAAGTACTACCGGCAGATGACGCAATACTGAACCAGGTGAAGGGCGTGGTGATGACTTGTCGGGTGATATTTATCCTGCCAAGTACTGCATTGGTGAGGGTGAACTTGTATAAGTTTCTTAATTGGTTTGCAATGCTTCCTAAGAGGCAGGGTAGGAGGCTCGTGATCCGAAATCAAGGGTAGCTGTCAAATCTGCGCGATATGTTAGCTTTCCAGTGTCGGATTGAATGTTGATAATCTCGAACCTGTGGTAGTAGCGCGAAGGAACTTATACAGATGCGGTTGTGAGCAGGAATATAAACCTGGATTGGCCGCTGAAGCAGTTCTCTCCCGCCGTTTAAATAGACTAATGCGTCTCTAGAAAACATTGTGTGGTTGCGGTACCCAGGGCGTGCGACCATTTCCATGCATATATATATATATTGTCGTCCCGAAGCAGTTCAAAGGGAAGGGAGAATATTCATGTATTAGCGGCTGAACTTTCTCAATATTTGAGCAAAGTTGGTGCATATACCCCAGCTGTTTAGTCGTTCAAGCGCTTGGCTTGCTTGTTGCAACTGTTGACCCTTCCTGTTAGCTAGGCCCTGCTCGACGACCCATCCATTTGATCAGGTAACATTCAGGATCAAAGGACAAAGGGAACAATGAAACTAATAACGTACCCAATCACCTGAAGGGCCTTCTCCACCTAATCGATCGTACATCCAACATATTAATCCACCTGTCAGCAATGCAACTGAAACCTCAAAGCCGCACGTAGCTGCCATTTCATCTTCAATGGTTCGGCGAGCCAGATCAAGCATTTCGTGGACGCGTTCAATCGTACGTTTGGAACCAGAGCTCTGACACCATCTTCTCAACGCGTCTTCAGCAAGCTGGATGTCCTCGTTTAACCCCGAACGTCCGGCATATAGATGGAGGTCGGAAATGTTTATGTCTAAGTATATGTTCGCGAGATGGTGCAAAAGGAGACCTGCCGGTGGAGCTTGGGAAACGTTCCCCCTCACATTTGAGTGGTGGTAGTTATCGAGCCAAGCCTTGAGGCCATTGCGAAGCCATCGTTGACGGTCGGCGAGTCCTTCAGCGGGCCCGATGCTCTCTGGGGCTCTGATGAAGGCTGAATGGAGAACAATATTCATATTTTGTCGCCATTCGAAGATGTGGCCAAACAGAGCGGAAATGAGGATAATTTTACTGTAAGAGTCGATAGGCGCGTAAGGAGGATCGCGCTTGAGCTCCGGATAAAGAAGACAGGTATCCAACGGAACCATGAAATACATTGCAGAGGGTATTTCGGCCGGGCCAAGGAGTACTTTCCACGCTTCAGGAGACTTGGCTTCCCAGAATGCAGCTTCGCAAGGTAACACCAGATTCACGGTTTCACCTTTGGAAATGTATGGTTGATTGTGAAATAATGCCGGAAACTGAAGGTCAAACATCTATGCTCCTCTTGTTAGTCCTGTCAGCCAGACCAAGTTACGGACAACGCACATGTATGGCAAGTCCCAGACGCTTACGTTGCTCCAGCTCAATCCAGGCCATCCAAGTGTCCAGGAGCTTCACTCGCATGGGTCTTGTGGCTCCTGCGTCCGTAACAAGGGGCTTTGGACGGCAATCAAGCAACCTGCAACGACGACAAGCAGTAACAAGAATTCCACGAGCCCCTTCTGCAAACTCAAACGCACTCTTATGTCCGGACCAAGCACCGGAGACGCAGAGAAATAGTAACGTCAGAATATTTGCCACAGAGCGTAGCTGTGGCAGTAACAGGTCAGCGAGGGAGGAGCTGGGCTAAGAAGTAAAGTAGCTGAGATAGCGACGACGAGTTTTGTGATGTCACTCGACCGGGAAATGGGCCAAGGGTGTCTTACAAATGATGGCTTCAAGGCATGTAGCCTCATAAACATCGTAGTAGCCAAGTGCAGGTACACAGCAACGAGTTTACCTCGGTTTGATCTAGAATGGCTGGAGCCCAGAAGCATCATCGCCAACAACAGGTACGGTGGCGCACCAGCCGTATTAAATGTCGGTTTGTGGAGAACAGGGAACCTAGGATGGACGAATTCGAAGAAGAGTGAAAGGAAATACTCAAGTACCTCTGGAACAGGAAACTTCGATTCATCTGGAGGCAAGTGCCCATGCTCAATCGAAGCACTATCAGCTAAGGTGGCCAACAAACGAGCTCTCACGTCTGGTGTTACTCTCAGAAATTGCCGGTTGGCGTTTTTGAAACGATTCTGGAAAACTCTAATCTCGCCAGGCTCTACCCAGGATTCCTGACTGGGAATATCAGTTGGTGGTATCTCAGACGGTGCTGGTGCTCCTGGAACGGGATCCTCGTCGGGCCAATCATTTTGGTCGTCGTCAGTCGGATAGTCGCATGCCTGACCACCACGATGTCTGGACGCTGTTTCGCCCCCGATGGAAACAATACCAGGCGGGGACCGCTCAGAATGCCTGTTCGGATAATCTTGAGTTTGGACGCTGTCAAGATTCAGATGATGATCGTTAGGACTGGGATAGTCCACTAAACCGATGTCGAGGATCCATGCTAAATCCGTATCTAAACAACCTTCTCCATACATTCCATAAGAGGCGTAGGGCCATGGTGGGTCAGAGTTCGGACTGCTTTGGGTTATTGACGTGCTTGATGGATATGGGTTGGGGTCCAAAGATGCTCTATAGTCTTGCCCTTGGTCACGGCTACCAATAAGTCCTCGGCTGACCTCAAAATCCCGGGTAGTGCCATGGGTCGCGTGAAACGCTTCTTGATACCTTGTGTCGAAAGGATGCGCAGGCCGTGCGTCTGATGAGCGAAGGACCATATGCATATGGGATTCGTCCATGTCCTCAGCCCTAGGTTGGGTTTGCTGAAGCCGTTCATCAGCATTGTCAAAGTGCAGATTGCCCGCAGGGTCTGGCAAGGGCGCATCGGAGAGGTATTGGCGACCCGCATTCTTGTCATGAATTTTTGAATGACGTTTCAGCAGGTCACTTGAAGAAAGTCAGCGCCACGAGTCGTTCGTCCCTACATGCGGTACAAAATTCACAATACAAGGCAGAACACAGGAACCGGCGGGCCAACTACCTTCGAGTAAACCGTCTCTGGCAGACATGGCACACAAATTTGGCGGTAGTTTTGTCTATCACAATCGCATTTCAGTACATAGGGACCCGGTCTAGGCTATGGAAGTGGACTTCTGCACATACGATTCTCCGCATGTCGAGTCAAATTCTCAACTCGTGTGAACACCTTCCCACAAGTATGACAGGTGAACGGACCAGAGGGTTGTTTCCTATGCGACCTTGACTGGCGCCTAGTTGCCTTTGGCGAAGCGACCTGCATACTAGTCTAAGCCTAATTCAGTCTCAACTGAGGCATAGAAGGAATCTCGAAGCAATGGAGCACATATAGGTGGAAGGTGGATCGTCAGAATCAGCAACACTGACAATGCCTCCCGATGTTGACTCCGGATGGGAGTCTCAGAGTGGACGGGAGAAGCGCGTGGACGGCGTTGTGGGCTCACGTGAGCCAATGCCATGATGCGTCCACTCCCTGATCCTCAGCATCCACTGACCGGCATCTCCGCGCTCCTCCACTATCCGCACTAATCCACTATCCTCACCAAAAGAGCCAATGAGGGACGATCTCCAGTTTCATCTGTTCTGTTCCTGTAATGTGGACGGTGAACCAACCTTCACGGAAGAAGATGTAGACGCACTGTAGTCTGTACGGAGCTATGTACTTATATTACCCCGCGGATTATAGACAGGTCTCTACATTATTCATTCCGCCAAATCCTTACTGATCTAGGTACAGCTGTCCAAACATGCAGGTCAAGTCAGAGTGCTCAGTCCCAGAAATGGGCGACCTCAAGACCGTGAACGCCGCGGTTGATGAGGTATCCGACTCCTCTCGAGCTGGTACGCCAAGCTCCCAAGATGAGAGCACTAGAGATGACGCTGCACGATCAGTGCAACCGAACTTTACCTCGCTGCTACCGCAATTGACCCTAGAGGAGAAGGTTGATTTGTTGTCGGGAACGGATTTTGTTCACTCTAGCGGAGTTTCGCGATTGAACATTCCTCCTTTGAAGGTATATGCAACCTCAGCAATGGGCTGGCCTGCGTGTTCGATTGCACGGCTAACATAGCTTCCACAATCGTCTAGCTCGTCGACTCTGTTAACGGGGTCAAAGGCTCTGAACTTCACCACGGTGTCCCAACGGCCATTTTTCCAAGCTCGACTTTATATGGTGCCACTTGGAACAATACACTCATGGAGGAGCTAGGAAGGGCATTGGCCTACCAAGCGAAATTGAAATCTGCGCAAGTCATTCTTGGACCAACAATCAACATTCACCGCGATCCTCGAGGGGGACGAAATTTTGAGTGTATCAGCGAAGACCCTCTTTTGTCCGGTCAGCTTGCGGCCGGCGTCGTGCGCGGAATACAATCACAAGGGGTCGCTGCTTGCCCGAAACATGTTGCTTGCAACGAGAGCGAGTTCAAGAGGAGGGAGTACAGTGTGGCAGAGTCTCACAATAGCCGCGCTGTTCGGGAGATATACTTAGCTGCTTTCCAGGAGATGTTGAGGAGAAGTGAGCCTCATGGCTTGATGGTAAGGTACGTATCAAGGCAGTCTTCCTCGGTGTTCATATTGCTACTTCGCTTCTTCAATGATTATTGGATGATATTCCTGACGCCTGTCATAGCTACAATAAACTGAACGGCACCCATACGACCGAGCATCCTTTCCTGAAGGAGATATTACGAGACGAATGGGCATACAATGGATGTCTGGTATCTGACTGGTTTGCCACCAAATCTTGTGCAGCATCAGTTAATGCTGGGCTCGACCTGGAAATGCCCGGTCCATCAGTCTTTCGTGGTTCAAAGCTTGTAGCGGCTGTAAGGGACGGACTTGTTGACGAAAAAGCCGTCGATGAGTGTGTTTCTCGAGTTCTCGGTCTGGTCGAGAAGACACGAGAGTCTCACTCACAGGAACCTGAAAGGTCTGAAGTCAGCCCGGAGACGAACGCACTAGCCCTGAAGGTCGCATCAGAGGGCATTGTCCTTCTCAAAAATGAGGAGGGTGTCTTGCCTCTTGACATGCGTCGTGCTCCAAAGATTGCAGTCATTGGTGTCCCCGCCAGTGAGCCCGTCGTGAGCGGCGGAGGCAGTGCCAGTGCACCTCCGCAGTACCTACAAAAGCCATTGGACTGTTTGAGAGACGCTCACCCATTCCCTTCTTTGATGAAATATGCCCGAGGGGTCAATACAAACAGAATCGTCCCCATAGTACCGCTAGATTGCACTACGTCTAAGAATGGCAGCCCCGGTTTTGACATCGCTTATTTCAACGAGGGTTCTAATATACCCGTGTACACGGAACACCAGAATGTTCCAGTGGTTGCCATGGTTCGAAACTTGAAGCCTGGTCTGAGGGAGCCGGGCTTCAGCTACGAGATTTCAACTACCATTACCCCCAAGACGACCGGCCCACACACATTAGCCGCTCGCGTTACGGCGAGTTTCTCTCTCTTTGTCGAGAGCAGAGCTGTTCTTTCGGTCCCGAATCAGCATGAAGTGACAATGGAAGATTTTCTCTTTGAGCCCGCTCGCCTGGAACACCGCATTTCTGTTTTCATGGAGGCTGGAAAGCCTTACTTGGTGCGGCTACTGAGCCAGGCTCGTATCCCTAGGGCAAACGACTATGAACCCACTCCTCACGGTGCAACGCTGTGCTATGAGGAATTCAGTGATGAACGCGCTTTGATAGCCGAAGCCGTCCAGGCTGCTTCTTCAGCAGATGTGAGCATCATCTTTGCTGGTCGGAATCAACAATACGAATCCGAAGGGTTCGACCTTGATTCCATGAATATGTCCGAACCCCAGGTAAGGCTCATCAGAGCTGTCACAGCAGTTTCCAAGAAGACAGTTTTAGTCCTCAACTGCGGCAATCCCATCGACGTATCGCCATTTGTGAATGAAGTCGACGCGATTCTCAATGCTCACTTCCCCGGCCAGGAGGGCGGACGGGCAATCGCTAATATTTTGACTGGAAAAACCAACCCCAGCGGCCGCTTGGCGACCACCTGGCCTAAGAAGTTCGATGAAGAGCACGTCCCCACTTACCACAACTTCCCAGCGCGACTTACGGAGCGTGGGTATGAAATCAAGTATGAAGAAGGCCTTCAAATAGGATACAGACATCCTCAATCCCAGCGCACTGCGCAATGGCAATTCGGCCACGGACTGTCTTACACTACCTTTGAATACTCGGGACTCACCGTCAGTGGCCAGGAGATAACTGAGAAGGCACCCGACTCGGATCTGAAAATCTCGGTCAGGGTCAAGAACACTGGTATCTACCCCGGCCATGAGGTTGTCCAGCTCTATATATCTCCTCCAGATAGCACGAGGGTGTGGCGTCCTGCTCGCGAGCTTAAGGGGTACGCGAAAGTATGGATACTTCCTGGGGAGTCAGAAACAGTGACAATCTCCCTGAATAAGAAACATGCATTCAGCTACTGGGATGAACATGTCCAACAATGGCGGCTGGAGCCTGGAACATACCGCCTTCTTGTAGGACCTTTTTCCACTCCCTTTGAGATTGAGCACAGTTTAATGTGGGCTGGACGGTAGATTCAGCAGCTTTTACTACCTCATGTATATATATCCATTGGAGACACTTCAAATAACGAGTTGTTTTAGATCATTGCCATTCTTGGTCGGTAGACAAGGGATCAAGAGTCATTGAGGGTGGTTAAGGCCATTTATCTTGTACTTACTGCTTGAAGATCTGATTTTAATCACAGGACTGCCATGTTCTATGATAATGCGACATTGCGAGCGTCTTCGGTCAAGATTTTAGAGGTCATCAATATTTTGCGGACGGAACGGGGATATATAAGTTTTGGGAATATATTCAAGGAATGAGATGAAGGGATTGTGGCATCAGAAAGGCAGAGAAGAAGGCTTGAGCTTAACTAATTATGGCGGGATATAGCAGAGTTGTACTCATTTCTGAACAATGTTTTAATGTCCAAGTCCTAAATCCAGAGCTAATTTTCCCTTACTTCTGATAGCAGCAACAATACATAATGGCAAGTTATTGTAAGCACGACATGAGCTATTTACTCCTTAAACTCGACTTCCTTTCCACTCTTCATGCCTATAGCCGCGTAACTGACAGGATCTGCAGTACTAGTCAATCATTATCCACTCGTGTCTATCCTGGAGAGCTTACCCATCTGCTGGAATATGACTTGTTCCCCAGGCATAAAATGGACATCCTGGGTACACTTGAGCTCAACAGTGGAATCTGGAGATGTATAAATAGTAACCCGTTCAACTTCTCCAGTAACTATTTCCGTTCCATCGGGCTCAATCTTTTTACCACCGATCTGAGCACCGACGTAGCTTCCCTCTTGTAGGGTTATAGGGTCACGGTCGAAATATGCCTTAGGCATGCTGGAGATTATTCGCAGTCTGTTTAAAAGGGAGGATCTTTCAATACAAATCGATATTCGGAAAACTGAATTGAAATTCTCTTGAGTATTCTAGGAGAAATATATACTACCCCTCGTATGATCTTTACGTAGCCGATATATTATAGCGAAGTAATTGGGGCCAGGCCGCGTTCGTCATCATGACATCTTCCATTCACATTGTTAATATCAGGTAGACCTAGAGGGCTACGTAAAGACGTAATGTAAAATCATCACCTAAATTCTAATCCATATGCTCTGTATTCATGGCTGTTCTTGTAGTAGCTATATCCACTCTCTGGGTAGGACAGAGTTTCTTCTATGAAAATGCTGTGATGAACGCGACCCTGTGGGCAGGAGACCGACTTACCTGCTATCTCCAACAGCCTAGAGATACTCATTCCCAGATATCCAAAGTGGATAGGACTGCATCGCGGATCTTGTCCCACTTGCTGAATATGGATTCAGAACGAACGACAGAGAAGCTTCGGAGTGGCTTGACAAGCACAGAATCCATGATATCGGCGCAGATGCCAGGAAATCTAGCCTGAAGAAAATGACGTATTTTCCGAGCGGCACCTCGTGCTTCTGCCGGACTGCGAGTCGTCTGTGTGACCACAAGAACTGTTGGGACAGGCCCAGACTGTGGGTCGAGACGAGAACGCCGACCGTTGACGCTGCTGTCAGGGTATGTGATGCTCTTTCTCGGAGGATGGATTGCGTGGTTTCGTACATTTCTTGATGTGGTGGGCATATCGAAAGTGTAGAGGCCCTTTTGCTGGAGAGTCAGGTGGAAGAGATTCAGAAGGTAGTTTAGGTAAAGTAGGAGTATGTAATAGTGATTCCTGTAGTGGTGCATTTAACCAGAACGAGAAAGACAATTCTGAAATTCCAGAAGTGGACTAGCGCCGTCACAGCACAATCTCGGTATCTTACCTCTTACCTAAATAGGCTTAGTAGCCAGGCCGGTACCGATGCTTAGGAGATGAGACCAAAGGCGGTATACTTAGGCTACCCGTAGCGGAAGGTCTGGGCGCGTGCCCCTTCAGAGAATAATGTGTCTTAACCTAAACCTCTAGGGGTAGGGCTAATCCACGTGACTGCCTTACAGTAGTTGATATCTGCCAGCGAATCGGATGAATCCCATCTTTGAGCTGTCACCTCCCCCACTGTCGCCAATTATTCTTATTACGGCATCCGCCCCCCACCTTTGACGGCCCGGGAGATATTTAGGAAAGTAAAGAAAGACCCGCTCAGCTAGAAAAAGCACCGGCTGCGAAAGACCTTTCCAAGACTAATCTAGCTACGACGAAACTCGTAGCAACCAAACCGGTTCCCTTCAGGGTCACGGAAGTTCATAAACCACCCATGAGAACTCTCAGTCGTCTTGGCTAGACAGGTGCTACCACCGCGTTCGTGAATTTTCTTCTCCACCTGATTATAATCAGCCTTGCCGATCTTCTGGAAAAGGTACTCATTCCTGGAGTATTTGGGCACCAGGACTGACCACGTCAAGGGAGTCGACTGAGTAGTACACGGTCATCCCACTGCCCATGCTCTGCTCTGTTGGAGCGCAACCCTCCGGCACCTGGACGATGCCTCCCGATAATCCTAGACGGAAGAGACCCATTCAGCTATTTTGATAAGCCAGTGCATCAAGATTGGCTTACCCTTCGGTTCAGCGAAACTATAGTGCTGCACTCTGCTCTGCTCTTCAGCGGCCTGAGCTGGCCTCCATTCCCAGGACGGAAAAATGGCACCGTAAAATGCCTACCCAGGGATCATCGTCAGCGGGGTCAAGTACTCTACTACCGCAGCAGACGAAAATCATCAGAGTCGCCGCATGATCGCGGACCGACCTTTAGTTTTTCGGTATCCCGTGCAGGGATCTCCACCCAACATGGAGAGCCTGCAGGGGGAGGCTTCCATGCCTGCTGGGCCTTAGTTGCGTCACTGGTTTCGGCAGACATCTGGAGCTGTTAGGGCCTGAACAAGTTCAGCGCGTGCCAAAGGGTCGGTCAGGGAGGTGAAAGGAACATAATAAATCTACTCCATCTTATACTGCCACTGGGAGGCAGAGAAAGATAAAGCATGGTTCGTGTACGTCATCAGCAACATGATTATGGAAAGCAGGTGGCCTCAGCTTCGAGTAGAGTTTAAGCCATATAGCTATCTATCCCTTAGCGATGGGCTAGATTGGGCAATGCACTAGCAAACAATGTCACAGGATGCTGCTCAGTCTTCTCTAGAAAAGCCTCTCAACCGTGGCTTTACACATCTTTCATAGAGAATAGCAGGATCGCAAATCAACAATTCGTATTTTCAGTGACATTTCCACCACCAGTAAGCCACGCAACCCACTAGAAGCTGAGACATCACCCCGCATGAATCTCTTTGAGACAATCAGATTCCAAACTAGAGCCCAGATCAATGCAGCCACTTCGTATAGATACCGCGAATCCATGAATCTGGGGTCAGGGAGAGCCCCACAGCGAATGAGCGTCAGAACTCCGCGATTTGAGTTCGGATACGAGGAACGGAATTCCTGAGAACGCGTGACAACGCGTCTCACGCACGTCAACGACTCTGCTCCACGACATGTTTTTGCTTACACATGATATAAGTCTTCTGTGCTGATTGGCTCTGGCCTGTATGGCTAAGCTGTAAATTGTCCTTGTCTGAAGAGCAGATCCCGTCTCTTCCTAGAACGCGGATGTGACGTGTAGATTTCGATTATATACAAAACTCGTGTGATCTTCGGTTCAGCTACCGCCCTCGTAGAATGGTCCCTCTTTCTTTCTGTCACAGATTACAGCAATGGATAGCCAGGTATGTTTCTCTCGCAAATATTAGTGGGTTTCCCTCATTTCCCTCACCACTCCTAGAAAAATATAGTCAGCCCCGAAGAGTACCAGGCTGCTCGATCTCGTCTTCTCCAGCAGGAGAAAGCGGCAACGCGACTGTTACAGGAGCTCGCCGTGGCACGCCGTCAGTTGCCCATGGTGCGCATCCACGACCCAGCTCGGTTCCAATTCGATACACCTGACGGAGTGAAGAGCCTGTCGGATCTATTTGATGGGCGCAAACAGCTAATCCTCTACCATTTTATGCTGGGACCCAATGAGACTCAGGGCTGCGTGGGTTGCTCGTTCTGCATGGACCATATCCCCGACCTTCGCCACCTGTGGAGCAGGGATACTTCTTTCGTCGCCGTGGCTACCGCGCCTTTGTCTGAAATTACCGCCTACAGGAATCGGATGGGCTGGAGGTTTCCTTTTTATAGTTCCGCGAAAACGCACAAAACGTGGGCCGAAGTCGAGGCACAGGGAGAAATTATCACCTGGAAGCCCGGGAACGGCTATTTTGGACTATGTTCGTTCTTCCGGGAAGGTGACGAGGTATTTCACACCTACGACACCTCGTCTCGTGGCTTGGAGATTATCCTGTCCACATATCACCTGCTGGATATGACCGTGATGGGTCGGCAGGAGGTGGGAAATGGAATGAACAACTTTCGCCGTCACGATGAATACTAAATTGGCAAGCAATAAAAGTAACAACTCGTCATTGTGTCCCTTAGGGTCATCTCTTTCTTATGCCCTCTCCTGCTTCCTGCTTATTCCCCCAACCCGATAGCACATATAGCCCCGAATATTAGTATGTCACTTGATCATATGGCCCTTGCCAAATGACCTGATATTCAGTATTGCCTAGGCCGACAACTTCGATCGGGTTTTTGACTTAAAGGATTTTAATGGAAAATGATAGGCGCAAATATTCGAGCCCCTGTGATGCTAACCTCTGTTACGGGGTCTTTGGGAAGATCCCTGGCAGGACTAGCCTAGATATATTGCGAAGGCCGCTGCGGCGGATCAGAACACCAGCCGAAAATACTACATCGTCCATGCACTGGATGAATGAGATCGGGAACCACAAGCCACTCCCTTACAGCAAGCAGTTTAAAGATACGTTTTCAAGCCTAACCAACTCTAATACCCGGATACTAGTTACCAGTCGGCCCTATCCCGATATAGAAGGATACTTTAAAAGGGTCGCAGACAAGAACCCGACTTCCTGTCTCAAAAGGGAGCAGGATATTGTACGCTACATTGAGGAAACGGTGGTGTACCTTGCCCAGGGGCATTCCTGCACAGACAAACTTAAAAAGCAAGTCAGCAACCTCCTTAGAGAGAGAAGGCTGGAGGCACTTTATTGTAGGTCGACTTAGCATATGAGAAGTTAGAGAGTACTCCTTCAAAAGACGCCGTTCCCGTCTTAAAGAACATACCCAAAGGACGAGATTTGCTCTACAAGGAAGTTTTCAACGCGGCCCTTGTATTGGAAGTGATTAGAAACTGTGTTACCGCGTCTCTGCGACCACTGAGAGTGCTAGAGGTTTCTGAGAATTGCAACCTTCACCTTGACGAAGACATTTTGAGGACTGTAGGTCAGTTTACACGTGAGGAAATCGCATCCTACCGTCTAATGGTCATCATCAGTCCGTGAGAGACTGCTTGGAAAGTGTGGGCTACTCTGACGAGCTAAAGGCGCATACCGAGCTCGCCTATCGCTGTGTTGATCCCCTCATCGAGGAGTCCCATTACAGTGATTTCTCGGCCATCCGCTTTTCACTCATGCGGCTCACAATTGGCCCAATCATGCGCGCATGTCCGTCCAGGATTCGCAAGTGGAGTTCCTTGGCATCGACTCTCCCTGTCGAGAGCAGTGGCTAGGCCAACTACGCTCTATAAAAGGCCTTATCAATCGGATCGCATGGAACTGCCTTCTGCTGATATGGCGGACGATAGGGGCCAGAAGGACACATCAAGTTTCATTGCACCACACCCTACTCAATGTCCTTAGGGCATGCAAAGCTATGTAGACTGGGACTAAGTACAGTGTCTGGAGGAGCTATAGATCTTCCTTACCAATCGGAAACCTGAGAAGCCACTTCAGAAAGTAGTTGTACACCTGATCATTTAGGATGCCTCTCAGACCTTGGGTTGAAAACTGTCCATATCTAAAAGGCTTTCTTCATATGAACGACTAGAAGACTTGCAGACCGCTTCCTGTCATGTATGTAGGCTTTTAGACTAATATACGGATCAATAGAGGGCCAGAGCTGTATCTCAGATATCTAACTTTCAGCCAGTCAAAAATTTGATATGCTCTTCTGGTCCCTATCGTCGGCCATATCCTGGTCTTCAGAGAGGTACATGCGGGCCAGAGTGCTCTCATCTCACCTTTCCCTCAGCAGCAGCGGTTCAGTGCCAACTAGGCTTGAACTCACCCAAACTCACACCAAATGCAACTCTAAGAAAATTATACTAGGATAAAATAATCTAGGTAGCCTAACTGGGTAGCCTAGTTAGGTTCTAGGCTGGGCTTAGGCTTAGGAGGGGTATTCTGGGTTTTGCTTAGGTCCAGGTAGAATTATCACATCAGTAGGCATCCAGCGGGTTATTCCGGTCCGTAGACGGATGTGCCCCGCTAGACCTTTTTTCCTTGACTCCGTAAACTTGTTTTTCTTAGAGTGATATCTTGGGCAACCGCCATTGTGAGGCTGATTAGGGCTGATTATTATATTAGCAAAAATCAGTATACTGTGTGTTCTTTGTGACTTTCTTATTTGAATTGCCCCTGAGCTTTTCCCTTGATTTACGGAGCAGATGGACTTGCAAAAGAGGGCTCGGAATCGAGCCGCATGCAGGCGTTGTCAGCGACGGAAGATCCGTGTAAGCGAATCCCAAAAGTCGCATTGTTCAATGAGAGCTCATTTTGCATACAGTGTGATGGTAATACTCCCTCCTGCGGTTCCTGCGAAAAGGTGGGCGTTTCCTGCATCAATGATGGAAAGCAGCAAGTCCATCGATCGTCAGTTTTTCTCCCTGAGTCGTCCTCTTCAGTCACGCTGAGTACCAGAGAAGATACATTTCCAATATGGAAAACCGAATACAATGGTTGGAGGCTATTGTACGAGAGAGATGTTCCGATGTCGACCTACGCCGTGCACCAGAAGTTCATGTACGAGCTTTAGACGGGACAACGCACCCTGGAATCTCTGATGGACCAGTCGAAAGCGAATCCCACCATAGCCAGGCTCCACCAGAGCCTTCGCCGCAGGAGACAAGGACCAACATTGCTGAGGGTGCTCCAACAAATAATGTTCGTTGTGAACAGGCAGCTTCGCAAATCATACCTACGATCAATGCAGTCAATGACGAACCTCAGCAGGCGCACGAGATTGGACTGGTCTCGCTGTCACCTGGGGGAGATCCTCGGTATATTGGTCCCTCCAGCGGTTACTTCTTTGCAAAGCGAATTCTCTCCAGTGCTGGCTGTCGTGGTAAACAGAAAGCCGCACCAGGAGCGGCTTGGGACTCAACGCACCTATCAGTGGAACTGCTGAATACACCAGCCTTACTGCCACCTCGAAAAGAAAGCGCTATAGAGCTCTCTGCGAAATACTTCCAAACCGTTCATCTTCTTCACCCCTTTTTACACGAGCAATCGCATATGGAAATCATTGACCAAGTCTATGCGTCGGAGGAAGAGAGGCCGTTGGATAACTTCCAAGTTTACATGGTCTTGGCCGTCGCTGCCCTGAATCTATCACGCCAATGCAAGATTCATCTTCCGGTGGAAGGATATTATGCATCTGCATTGAAGTATGCTGATCATGCCTGCAATCATGGTTCCATTACTTCTCTTCAATGCCTATTGCTCCTCATGGTGTATGCTTTGTATAACCCCTCCTGCAATATCAACATCTGGAACCTCAACTATCAATGTCTTGCGAGCGTGATTGACCTCGGCCTTCAACGTGATGTGCGGGCATCTCAGTCCCTCCATATCTCGGTATTCGACCAAGAAATGAGGACCCGTATCTTCTGGGTGGTGTATACCTTTGATCGAACAGTGTGCACTATGATGGGTCGACCGATCGGCATCAGAGATGAAGCTTGCGACATAAGGGTAAGCAAGACCAACTTCCTCCACGTTGAAGTACCAACTAAAGGGAGAATGCAGTTTCCCCTTGCTATATCAGACAGCGATCTCATGAACATCGGTCCTGACCAGCAATACAAGGAATCGCCTTCGCACATGTCATATTCAATCCATATATTCGGATTGGCCCAACTGGTATCAGAAACAAAATACGTTATGCACAGCGTCAACCGTGCAGCGCCTGCCTATGCTTATCCCCCAGTCCGAGATATAGCCAACTGGCAAAAGGATATGATTAAAAATTTGCAAGATTGGCATTCGAGCATACCACAACAAGTGAGCGGCGTCAACTGTAAATTGCCGCTTTTGTGTAAGATCAAGTATCATGACACAATGATCCTACTATTGCGACCCAGTCCCGGAATCCCAAATCCGTCGGACGAAAACCTCGAGCAGTGTTTTCAGCAGGCCATCATGCTGCTTCAAGGATATGGGGATTTGTACAGCACAGGACATCTACTATACAGCCGGCTTGTTGTGCATTCAATCTTTCTTGGCACGCTTGCCATGTTGTACTGCATTTGGAGGTTACCACAAACAGCGACAAAGTTCCTGGTGGACGACCTGATATCTAAATTCAACATTGCACAGAACATTCTGAGCAGCATTGGAGAGCACTGGGCTGAGGCTATCCGAGCTCGCGATTGTATTCATGAGTTATCTAGCGTCACCATTCGAAGACTCCTAAAGAGCCAGCCTATGGTCTCTGCTGTTTCCCAGCCAGATCAATCATATCTGGCACAACATGGCGACATCCGGGGTCCTGGATCAGGGTCTCACTCTACACTGCAGTCCGATCAACTTGGCACTGGCCAAGGACAGCCTTTCTTAGACGTACAGGCTAGTAACGCAGAGTCCTGGCTTGTCCAACCGCATACAACGTCAGAGGACGGCGTATCCGATTTCTCAAATCTGTTCGATGACCTCTTACAAGGGGATTTCCCAGGTTGGAGCGGGACGTTTGATATTGATGGGCTCATGGGGGAGATATTCAACAGCGCTCCGCACTGAGCCTTCGCTGTAGCAGTAGGTACGGGGGTTCTGGGGTGACTATTGCTTAGTGAGAGCAGGTCGGGACGACCATGGCTCGTTCAATGGAACTAAATATCTGAACTATGTTACCAGTGCGGTACTCTAAACGGTTATCGGCTATTTAGACCTCGAGTCGCTTGAAGAAAGCAGATGGCTAAGAGGTCGCGACTCTGCGGAAAAGACATGTAGATGATAGATACTCTTACTTCTCCAGCCAAAAACAGACGATTTTCGGGCCTATTTAGTCAGTGGTTGAAATACGGCCTCTCCCCGCCGTCGGAATCCCCCCGGTGGGCGGATGGCAGCCCGTTCCGTTGCCGTCTTGGAAAGGCAGTCAACCGCAACAAAGAGACAATACCTTCTCAGTTTAAAAAGCACTACATCCACAAGGGAACGAAAAATTTCTCTGATAATGTGTCAAGGTCCTAAAAAAAAAAGCAAAAGGGACGATTCTTAAAGTTGCAGTTAAGACGTAGAGTCCTCATCACTTCTCTGTATTGCTCGAAACCGTCCGATCAAAGCAAGAAATGCATCACATCAAACATTCGGACCTCGAAAGCTTCATCCACAGAGTCCTCGCAGCCAACGGCGTCCCGGACAAGCATGCTACCATCGTGGCCAACTGTCTCGTCCAAGCCGACCTCTGCGGCGTAGATACGCACGGCGCAAACCGCATCCCCTCATACATGCAACGCATACGCCAGAAAGTCCTAGATCCCTCGGCATCCCCAGAGCTGCAGCAGATCACACCGATTGCGGCGCTGGTAGATGGGAAAAACACTTTCGGGTTTGTCGCGGCCCATCTGGGCATACAGCGCGCGTGCGAGATGGCGCGAGAATTCGGCATCGGATTAGTCTCCGTCAAGCACTCAAACCATTATGGGATGGCGGCCTGGCTTGTCCAGCAGGCGATTGATGCGGGGATGATGTCGCTTGTTTTCACGAATTCCTCGCCCGCGCTACCGGTTTGGGGCGGGAAGTCGAAACTTATGGGCGTTTCACCAATTGCCTGCGGAGCTCCCGCAGGGAAGGAGAGGTCGTTTATCCTTGATATGGCACCTTCAGTTGCGGCGAGGGGGAAGATCTATAAAGCGCTCCGGCGCGGGGAGAAGATCCCCACGGACTGGGCGCTTGACGCAGAGGGGAAGAGGACGGATGATCCGGCCAAGGCGCTAGAGGGTGTGATGTTGCCGATGGGCGGCCCAAAGGGGTCTGCCCTATCGATTATGATGGATGTGTTTTCTGGCGTTCTTTCAGGGTCGGCATTTGCCGGGCAGGTGACGGGTCCGTATGATCCGTCTAAGCCGGCGGATGTTGGGCACTTCCTGATGGCTATCAAACCTGATTTGTTTATGAGTATGGAGGACTTCAAGGACCGGATGGACTATCTGTATCAGCGGGTTGTTGGGTGCGAGAAGATGGAAGGTGTAAGTCGTATCTACTACCCTGGGGAGATTGAGCAGATTACCCGCGAGAAGCGGTTGGAAGAGGGCATTCCTTTTACAGAGTCGGAGATAGAGAATTTGAATCGAGAGGCGGAGCTGGTGGGCGTGGAGGAGTTGAGGTTTGACTAGACAGAGCAAGAAAAGAGAGAGAGAGACTCCGTGATATCAATGACATACTTTATGCAATACTGCAAAGCTATACCCTCCCGGTGGATGAAGTAATTCCCCCATCCACAACCAACTTTTGGCCCGTGATATACCTCGCCTCATCAGACGCCAGAAACAAAACCGCATTAGCAACATCCCAGGCATCCCCCATTCGTCCCATCGGCACCTGCGTATCTCTCTTCCTCATATACTCCTCCTCATCGCCCCCGGGTGCATACCGCTTCGCAAGCGCTTTCGTATACGGTGTATATATCAAACCCGGCACAACCGTGTTCAACCTCACATTCCTCCCTGCATAAATCACAGCCGACGTCTTCGTAAACTGCATGATGGCCGCCTTCGCTGCCGAATAAGCAACCTGCGGTTTCCCGATGTACCTCATCCCGGCGATACTCGAGACATTCACAATCGAGCCCCCAGTCTCTTGCTTTTCCATGATGGGCAGTACAAAATGACATGTCAAGTATACGCCCTTGAGATTGACATCAATTTGCTGATCCCATACTTCCTCGGACATCTCTGCCGGACACCCAGGCTCCGATCTCCCGACGTTATTGATGAGGATATCGATGCGGCCGTGTTTCTGCATGCAGCTGTCCACCAGCGCCTTGACAGACGCGGCATCAGTAACATCTGTTTCTTGAATGTCGCATGTGCCGCCGTCAGCCTCTATCAGGGCCTTTGTTCGCTCGGCCGCGGACAATGTGCGGTTTCCGCCGAAGATAAGGGCACCGTGTTGCGAAAGTTTCGTGGCGATTGCGGCACCGATGCCCCAGCCTTCTGGGGCTGTTTGGCCGAGCCCAATAATAACGGCGACTTTACCCTGTAAACTTAACATCGGGGAGGTTGAGAATTAGCGAGTAGAGACGGAAGACTTGGGCCTACGTGTAGCGGAATCACATTTAAATGTTGTATACTGGTCCAAAACTGCCTGTGGTATTGCTGTGGAACTTATCCATATGCTGCGGATTGGTCCCGTCCCGGGGTTAGCCGACGGCTATATCCCGTAAGTTCTCTAGACACTATGCGAAAAATTGTTTTGCGTTATTCCCTATGATCGTCAGGCCAGTCTCTGTACCAGCTAAGATAGATGTCATGTTTTACTCAGGTTGGCACGGGAATCAGCCGTCAGACGCTGACCTACCGTCGTTTGCGTTGAAGAAGTCCGGAGTTTTCCGCACAGATTTGTCCAGGCTCAAGACGGTTATCCAATGCTATAAGATGCCTTTCTAAAAGGTTTCCTCTTTAACAGTCACCATTCACCCGCAAAAGACGCCAACTGGTACATGATTCCACCAATGCCCCGAGAGGTCCAGGAAAATGTAATCAGCCTCCGGGCCCCCAACCCTCTGTCTTCTGCCACCGTCTTCTTTTGGACGAGCCGGAATATTTTAGGGAACAAGTGGGTATGCAATCGGCAATTGGTTTGAAGGAGGAAGGAGTAAAAGCGGCTAAAAAAATGGTAGATCAGAAGATTACTTGGAGTACATGTCCAAGGCTGTACTGTTCTAGGAGTCATCGCAGAGTTACCACCCACCTTGCACCTCATCTTCCAGAGTATCATGACTACAGGAATAACCATCGATACCTTGTGACACCATACAAAATTGAAGTTCCTCAAACTGAACGCTTTCAAATGTGGGCGTATCAATTATTATGACATAGAAATGTACTTCCTTGCGTTGCTTAGCCTTAAAGCGGCATTGTTGCTGCTGGATAATTTCTTGTTAAGGAAATCCTCCGTCGCTTCCTGAGCATTTCCCATGATCACTGCTTGTCCCTTTCCAGATTTCCAAAGCCTTTTCATTGACAAGCAAACATTTTTGACTATAGTCTATCTAATCTCTTTTAACGGCATCATTCATCACTGAAAATCGGGAGATGTATCATTTTAGATAGAGACCCCTTTTGTTCTGTAGGCAAGTAAAACGAGTCTTCCTTCTCATTCTTACCATCACACCCGATAATCCCAACATTTTGGCCCAAGTATAAGACAGTGTATGAGGAGCATGTCTCCTATAAAGAAGGTCTTTCCCCTCAAAATTTGGTACGTCTCCCGTGGGTTTTAATTAACGGGAACAGACAGGCAATCATTATCGGAGGTGGTCCAGCTGGACTGGCGGCGGCCATACGACTCAAGGCGTACAATGGGATTGATACGTCGGTCTACGAACTACGGCCGGAACCAACTACCTTTGGAGGCGCGGTGAATATTCCTTCCAACGGCTTGCGCCTGATTGATCGGCTGGGTCTGTACGAGAAGCTCTGCTCCCGCGGGTCATAGTATACTCAGGTATCTCAAACATGTGCACTGTCCTGCCGACGTCTGTCCTGTCTGATAATAAAGAGGCAGTCTCTCCCGTTCTTCATGCAACATTAACTCCGGAGGGTCTATTTGGAATAATGCCGTGTAGCGCCTCTGGTGACCGTTTGTACTGGTTCTACTCGCGCGAGGTCCCAATCACCCTTGGGAGATAGCAACCACGAAGGGTGGGAAGCATTCGGCGAAAGGGAGATTGAAGGTTTCAAGGAAAACCTACTGCAGGTTATCCGCAGCGCGAGTGGCAGCTGGGCGGATCGATTGCGCGAGATCATCCGCAAAACCGAAACTATAAAGTTCTATCCTATTTACAAGATGCCCACGGCTGCGACTTGGGCCACGAAGCGCTGCTTGCTCATGGGCGATGCAGCCCACGCGATGCAGCCACATGCGGGCCAAGGCGCATCGATGGCCTTGGAAGATGTCTTCTTGTTTTCACGGCTGCTAGAAGGTACCTCGAGACCACTGATGGAACTATTCCAGGACTACGAGTCTATTCGCCGGCCCCGTGTTGAGGCTATCGCTCGTTTGTCAAGCGAAAACGGAAATCTACGGAAGAACGCGAGTCCTCTGGGGTTCAAGGCAAAAGAGATTGCCCTTGGGGTAGGCTTCTGGCTGTACAAAATGGCGGGGTTGCAGAAATGGGGAATCGGCATGCAGCAGAAAGAGTTCGCCTATGACATTATGGACGAGCCCCTTCCGCCGAGGAATATTGATAATTAACTGCACTTTCAAGTTCCCTCTAACCCGTACGGACATTGGTACGATCCTTCGCATAGATTATATATCATTACTTGACTTCTACTTTTCCGTGTGTACATCGGATAATCAAAGAAGCATGAGAACATTTACCAAGAACGGTCCGGCCTCATTTCATGCGGTGAGATTGCCGATTTAATGCCTATTGAACAGACTTAAGTCACCTATAAATGGGTAGCATTCCGCATCAGCTATGCGGACTAGATCGGACTCCAGGTTCTCTCAGATACGGCACCGGAGTCTCCTGCTAGACGGGTGAGAAGAATCGTACATATGAGTGTATATAGGAATTCTTTTCCTTCAGAGCTGGGTTTTAGGGTGACCAGGGCTACCTAGGCCCAGCGGATGCCCACATTAATTATTTTTTTATGAAGAGTCCTACATAGCACAGAGATCTTACAGATTGAAAATCTGAGGAAGGACCGGAATAGAGTAAGAGTTACTAGACGTTCAAGCTGAAACTACCACAGTAGATGAAATGTTGCAAAAGAAAGTAACTGTTTATTTTGTCCTATTCTAAAAGGAGACATTATCAATCGAGATCTCCGCTCATCAGCTCTCAAGCGTGAGTACAATACTTAGCCTGGCAACAGAGCTCTACATTTTGGCGACTTTATATCGTCAGTCAAACAGGTGTACATTGTGACGCAGTCGCACTTTTCGTCCACGAAAGTGTAGACGTGTCGTCCCTTTTGGTACCTGCCTTTAGTATCCGACATTACCATGCGATGACCATACTGATGCTGATTGTCGATGATTTCAAACCCCCAGACCTTTCAATACTAGTTAGAGTCCGATCGCTTGAGATTCCAAGCCCGATAGAGGAGCTTGAGCTTGTCTTTCCAGGGTATGTCTTACCTGTTCAAACAACCCGTTTAGGATCCTGACTTCCAATTACTACCTGGATCCATAGCCCATCTCTTCCGCCCTCGTGGGCCTCGTTTGCCCGGGCTTTTTCAACAAGGAACCCGTCGTCGGGATGCAGTCTCCATCAATCTCTGCGCGCAGAAATTTGCGAAATTTGCCAGTATTTGAATCATCGATTTCGGTTTGAGTCCACACACGGTATTGGCTTTGCCACTGACGAATGCTGTTGTGAGCTGCCGATTTATCGGGATTGAACCACGGTTTTCCCGAAGATGTGATCTTCCTGGGGATACTCGAGCCAGTCCATATAGCGATTTTCAGAAGTCCCGCCCAAATTGACGTTGGTGGACTGGCTTATAGCAATCTGACTAACCAGACTGCCGGTACTAGGACTGGGGCTCTTCGAATTATTCCATTTTGATAGTAACTTCAGTCATCGCAATGGCCTTCCGAACGACCCAATTAATGCCTTGTTTTGACTAAGGTCAGTGAACGAAGAACGTTTTCCCAACTGCGGAAGATACCATTGCAAGTAGCGGATCGGCGTCGGTTGAGAGCTGTTTGTCCTAAATTATGCAACCGCCAGCATTAGTAAAGGGGCTGGTCAAGAGATCTTGGTTGAGACCAGATATAATTAGCACTACCTACCAGCATACATGATTCGGTGAGATTTCGATCGAAATGTCACTGGGAGCAGCCATGTCGATAATGTGCGTTTAAAGAGTGGACGAACCAGTTTTTATCACCAATAAACTAGAAGGGGATTCTGCAATATCCGAATGTTAAGACTAAGTTCATCACCACTCGGTTGGAATACAGCGAACTTATATTTGTTCAATAAATGGATGATCTACATGGCCGTAAAAACTGGTCTTGAAAGGAAAGATAGTTACGGCGGGAATAATTCGGGGAGCAGGACGAAATTTTCACATCGCTGGTCGAATGTAACCGGAAAAGACTTGACGTTCAGCCCAGTTGAAGGGGTTTTGAATTTATGGATGATTTCCCATGAGGGAGTCTAGCCGAACTGCCAAATTTCGATAACATTTGTTTCAATTTTTCACATGCCAAAAGTCATCGCTCCGGCTTTTGTTTTAGATGTGATGTTTAAGTATGCCTAGCAGTATGTGCTACAGTGTATAAGCTCCACGTATCATCTTAAAATCAGATTCTACTCTCCTCATGCCGGTGAGAACAGAATCAAGTAGTCATCACTTTTGAAGCCATCTATACAGGTCCTCATCATGGTCCTTGCAGCAAGCCCAGCAATGGTTCTAAACAACGTCAGCAGTTTTCCATGGACATAATAAGTGGTGGGTAAAGTCAAGTCTTACTTCAATCTCCTTTGCATACTACAGGTGTGAAGCGTTAGTAATCTTTCTATTCTTTTCATAGTAGATTCAAGGTATTTTCTCTTCTTACCCAACCATCAGGACAGTCAAGCTTTTCAGGGATGCAGGGCCTCCAACATAATTCATTAGGCTCATAGTCTGTCCAAATAACTCTAGCAGTTGCTCCAGATAGACTAGCTGACAAGGCCAGAAAAATAGTAGAGAACTTCATTATGTCAGCTTTGAGAAGAGCTGCTGAAGTAGGAAATAATTGTTAACCAAGAGTTACTGGAGGAAGGAGGCCCGATTCATAGGAGAAGAAGGGCATATTTATATCCAGGTTTCTCCACAGGTCATATTACTTTGCCAAGGGTCAAGAAGTTAAGAGACTAAGTATTTTACTAGAGAAGTGACACACGTATGACCCAATGACACCTACTCCAGACATTTAAGGTAATGTATACCAACAGATTGCGAACACCAAGGCGTTGAAAAGATGATGACCAAATGACCAATCTCCTATGTAGGCTGTACTATAGACTATAGGGTTCAAAACCGTACAGGCCGAGATTCCACTGTTTGTGAGCCGCGTTCGGTTAAAGTATGCCTCCATGACAGATAGATCCGGACAATCCGGACTACACGAGCACTTCCTCATAGGAGAAGATAAATTCGCAGTTCCTTTCATGCGATTAATGCTCCACATGTGACGTATGGTATCTGGAGAGGATTGGAGAGTTTATAATATAGATGTAACTAAATCCTACCTCTTCAGTTTATCTATCTCATGAAGTCACTCGCTAGCTTTCTAGCAGCATCCCAGTTTCTACCTCAATTTACTTCTATCAATCTCGAATCAATCTTTTCTAAATGAAGGGTATAACCAGCTTCCTCATAGTAGCCGTTGCTTCTCTAAGTCCTATTGCCTCTGCGGCTGCTATGGCTCCCTTCCCAGATTATATCAATTCTATACCGAACTGCGGTTATCTCACTTTCAAGTGCACATCCTTGTCTGATTCCTACGACGCCTTCCGCGATTGCTATCTGAAAGGTGCACAGAATGGTTGCAGTTGGTGATCGCAAGGTAACTAAACCCTTTCTCGAGTATTCAGTTTCCAAATTCATGTCTGTGCAAGTTCACGCTCTGTATGGCACCATTTAACTGATCTACAGGGGTTCAGCCTTTTCCTTTTCGTACCCTCCTAGGCCGACGTGGTTTGGGACAGACGAATTGAGTCCATCCACCAAGACCGAGTCATTGAAAGAGGGCGGCGTTTCCTTGGCACGGCATGTGGCGGAAGGTGGATAGCTTAGCAGTTCATGTCGAACTGTGTAGGATTCGGGGCTTGTTTCCTCTCGGATTCCAGCTTCAGTGTGATTATCTAAGGTTTAGGAAAAACAATGAGACAGTGATGCTGTTCCACTACAGTAAACTCAGCTATGAGTCATGCCGTATCTGTTGCTGAATGTCGAATTCCCAATGGGAACATGACAGAACAAACGAACCCACGAATGGGTGCAGAAGATGCTTGACATTAATCCCTTTGAAGAAAGTCTTAATAGATGCTTGCAGGACCCAGCTGGACTATAGAGCAATCAGTTCGAACTTACAGCCTTGTCAGATCCAGTGGTCGCCTAATTGACTTTATTTCCTGTCATTGCAGCCCCTGGATCAGCGGCGTCGTGATTCTACCTTATGCTTCTTGCTAAATTCAAATCTATAAACTTTCGTATGAAGTTGGGTCAATCTGTTAGAAAACTTTGCAGGTCATTGCTACAGAAAAGTGAAGATACCAGCCAAAGAAAAGAAAATGAAGACTGTAAGACTGCCTAGACCAGGCTATTTAGATTAACTCTATTTCCATTTTGGGCGCTTCGTGCTGGGTATCCAGTAGGGGGTTTTTTATGAGTAGCAGAATAAGTAGAGAATAAATTAGGGCAGAGAATGTATCACATCAGTTCAAATAATTGCTAAGCAGACGGATATAATCTGAGATTAAGATGAAGCACTGACGTCATGAATCCGCCTTGTTAGCCTAGAGCTTTTACTGAATCCGGCTGAGACAACAATATTTGGAAATATCGATGTTTGGAGTTGGCACTGATGACCATTAGAGTCATAAGCCACAACAGTGATGACTGCATTGTTTTGAATCTACCTATTAATGAAGCTTAATTCGATGGCAATACGGGATTCAGCAATCTGACAAGTCCTCCTTACAGTTGCATAACCGAACTGCCAAAATTGAATCCAAGTTATCCAAGTCCAACCCTCACTGAACCTGCAGTGGTTTGAATTCAATGCCCTGCCTAAAGATTACACTAGGTTTAGTTTCCCTAGGGTAGAACTAATTCAGATTTAGTTAAATCCATTAGTTATGGATTTATGGTTTTTTGATTGGGTTAACCAATCCGCACTATTTTTATTAGCGATCATATATGTATTTTATATGAAAGTATTAATTTTCTATAGGCATAGTAATAGTATGGTAGATAGTATCATTGGTAAGATAGTTAATATAATATCAAACTATTTAACTGACCTAAATTAAATCAAACCAAACTAAATCTAACTATGATTAGTTAGTAGGGGCCACGTTAGGCCTATATAACCACTACTCACTCCCATAGGACTAGTGTGAGCGCAAAAAGCAGTGTAGGAATGTTGTTACTGTTCATCCCCACGCGGCCACGCCTAAGTATCAATTTTTGACTGTGCCTGGATTAGTGTAACCCTAGCTCACTGCGGGAAGAAAGAAAAAGGGG